TATGGATCATAAATGTCATTTATAATTTAAAGAGTTAAAGATAGAAAAGCTGTTTCAATGTTTGGTGAATGTTTTTAATTTTACAAATTAACTCCAGTGACAAATTTTAAGAGGTAGGGAATTCCAAAAATTGGTGGAGCGAATCGAATGAACAAGTTTTAGAATGAGGCAGATATATGAAAAGGCGTATAGAAGTCAAAAGTTTGAGATGTGGAGAGGGAATGGATGAAGGACTTGAATTGGAGAAGCTGAGCATAGGATTTTAATAACTGAGGTTTGTTGTGCTAACCTTGCCTAGCATTCATTAAAAGTGGATCAATGTACATGGCAGTTTGCAAATTTTCACCATTACAGAAAATGTGTGGATCATAAATGTCATTTATAATTTAAAGAGTTAAAGATAGAAAAGCTGTTTCAATGTTTGGTGAATGTTTTTAATTTTACAAATTAACTTCAGGTACATGAAATAATTCAGTAGCTACATAAAGAAAAATCATCTTTATATTTATTTAAATAAATCCATTCTGCAAACACTAATCATTGAACTAATGTTCCAAGTAGACTTTTAATCATATTCTTTTTACTTTTACAGTGGACTGTTCAAGAATTTCCTTATCCTTCTCATGAAATACGTGATTCACCTGAAGAATTTATGTGTGGCAAGATATTCCCTCTAATATTATTTATTTGCTTTATATCTCTGTGGACGTCAGCTGCTTCACTGTCTTCTGAAGAAAGATTGTCTGGAATTATTGTGAGTATCTTATTTATCTTTCAAAGACAGGTTTCTTTATATAAACATGGTGAGTCAGAAGGAATGGATGAAAATCAGATGATAACATAGGACTTTTTTAAATTATTTTTTTGTTTGTAATCCAATGCATGCTACAGTTATAGCCCTGGAGCCAGAGCCCAAAAATCGACCTCATCACAGACGAAGGTTTGATTGTTGTAAATTATGAAAGTGTATCTTATTCTGAGTAAAAAGAACCTTGTCTGCTGTTCCAGAACCAATGCTTTCAAAAATGGCGGCTGATTTAAAGAACATTAGGCCAGTAATTTGAGGATCGGAACAGAAAATTCATTGCGAAAAATGTTGGAAATTTTTTTATTTTTTTTACCTTGTATATATGGGTTTAGACATGTAAAAAACAAAATTGCTAATGCAGGCCACAAAGGAAAAACTTTTTACAGCCAAAAAAGCCAGGTTTTTTCGATATTTTTTTGTTCTTTCACCTATAATTCATAAACGATGCATCAATGCGAAAAATGCGCGAGGAAACACGCGCTACTAAGCGATGATATAATTAATTTCTTTTAGAATGATAATGGTTCGTTTTCAATTTTTTTTTTTTTTTGAAGGAATTTGTGGATGTGGTTTGACGTATGGAGATAGTTAAGGAGTTCCAAAAGGAGGTAGCACGATTGACAAAGGATTTGCTGAAGGAAGTGGTATTATGGGAGGAGTATATAGATCTACAGGTTGAGATCTGGAATTAGGAAAGTGGATAGAGGAACATAGAGTTTGGAGTTCTAGAATGAAATGAATGAAAATGAAATGAAAAAATAATTTTATTCTGGGATGATGGGGTTGATTTTAATAAAATATTACAGTTTTATTATTTTAGTTTTTATATGGTGTAATATTTTTTAAATTTCATTATCGTATTTAATTATTAGTCATTATTTTCTTGTATATATGATCTAAAACAAATGACCCACTGTTATTGGGCACAAAACCTGTTGAGGGATTGTGTATTCAAGTTAATAAGTAAATCACAATCAATATGCCATTAACTCAAATTTAAGTGTACCATCAAACTGAGGATTGTTAGGTGATAGATCAGTATACCATCAACCAGAGGACAATAAAAAAAAAAAAGGACAGTCATAACTGACCAATCGTGTATTTTATTTTATTTATTTATTAGTTTTTACTTAATAATATAGATTCTAATTTTTAAGTTCCGGGACAAGAGGTGCGAACTAAGTAGTTTTGTCACAGAAAAATAACAAGCATTTCCCGCTTTCAGTCTAACCTTAATCTCTTTTTCTATTTCATTTCTTCTAGTTATCGTAGAACCTAGATACCTAAATTTATCTACCTGTTCAAACATATTACCATCTATATCGATATCACCAGTAGTATCTCCATTTTTGTAGCTAACCATATATTTTGTTTTATCCACGTTTATTTCGAGTCCTAGTTCTTTACCGGCTTTCATTAGCGTTGTCGTATTTAGTTTTATAGTTTCAACGTCTTCGCTTAACACTACCAGATCATCAGCATAGCCCAGCACCGATGTTGTCCCACTCAGATCCAACCCTTTCTCGGTATGCATTACTTCCCTAATGGCATGTTCTAATGCCAAATTGAAAAGGACAGGCGAAAGGGAATCCCCCTGTTTTAAACCCGACCGAACCTCAAATTTTTCCGACAGATTATTACCGATTCTAACTTTATGGAATGTCTCCGTCAAGCACATCCTGACTAGATTAACTAGTTTTTTTGGAATCCCATGCTCGATTAGAATATTATACAGTTTCTGGCAGTCAATAGAATCGTAAGCCTTTTTAAAATCTATATACAGCTGGTGAACAATACCGCTGTACTCCAATTTTTTCTCTAATATTTGCCGTAAAGAAAATATTTGATCAATAGTTGAACGATTCCGTCTAAATCCGCATTGGTAGTCTCCGATAATTTCCTCGGCGTATTCTGTGATTCGACTGGTTAAGATTAAAGTGAATATTTTATAACATACCGGAAGGAGTAAAATTCCTCGATAGTTATTACAATCCGTCCTCGGGCCCTTTTAGTGTATCGGAATAAGAATAGATTCTTTCCATTCCTCAGGTAATTTCTCATTCACCCAGATCTTTTTAACCAACCGATGTATTTTAGAAACTCCAGCTTCCCCGCATGCCTTAATTAGTTCAGTAGGAATATTATCGCTTCCCGCTGCTTTATAAGATTTTAATTTTCCGATAGCTACTTCAACTTCCTCTTTACTTGGTCCTTCTATTAACGGTTCAGCACTCTGGTACTCAGAAGGAGGACACAGATCATAATTTCCCGTATTTAAAATATTGTCAAAGTGGTCCTTAAACTAATTCAATATGTCAACCGGATCGGTCAGAATATTGTTATTATCATCCCTAATTGCAGATGTTGCGGGCCCTACATATTTACTGACCTGTTTATACCTTTGTACATGTCTCTTACGTTATTTTCGATTCTATTAGTTTCTATTTCAATTATTTTATTTTTAAGATACTCCCTTTTTTTATTTTTGAGCAATTTTGTCGTTTTGTTCTTTGAGGTTCGGAAGTATTCCAGATTGTCTTCACTAGGATTATTTAGAGCTTTTAATTTAGCGGCTTTTCTTTTTTCGCACATGTTTAACCAATCTTCATCAAACCACGATTTGTTATTCTTATTTTCCTTTTTTCCTAGACACGAGTTACCGACGCTTTAATATTATCCCTGATCTCTATCCATAACTAGTCAATATCCTCGTCAGGAAGCTCTAAAGCTTCAAACCTATTCTTAACATCTAGCTCGAATTGGTTTCTAATTGATGGATTTTTTAATTTTTCCAAATTAAAATTCTCAAAATCGAAACGGTTTTCTTTTCTCTTTTTTATATTAAGTTTTTGTCGAAGTTTCGCGATTACTAATTCATGATCCAACCCACATTCTGCTCCGCGATAAGACCGTACATTAATTATACTGCTTTGCCAGCTTTGTTGTATCAAGACATGATCGATTTGATTTCGTGTTTGCGAATCCGGTGATGTCCAAGTATATTTATGAATATCCTTATGTTTAAACGTGGTACTTTTAATTATCAGGTTTTTCGAGATGGCAAAGTTTATCAGACGGATCCCATTATCATTACTATATTCGTGCAAACTTTCTTTACCAATCGTCGAAATATAAACTTCTTCCCTTCCTACCTTTGTGTTCGCGTCACCTACAATTATTTTCATGTAGTTTCGCGGTAGTTTATCATAAACCCATTCGAGTTTATCGTAAAATTCACTTTTGACTTCATCGTCACTGTCTTCGGTCGGACAATGTATGTTTATTAATGCGATTTTAAACCAACGTCCCTGAAATATAACTACCGAAATTCTATCACTAAAGAATTGTACATCCCTCAAAGCGGATAGTAACCTACTCCTAATTAGAAACCCGGTACCTAAACAATGATTCCCGCTTCCTCCAAACCAAATAGTGTACTTTCCTTCCCTCATCGAGCCCTCCCCTGTCCAGCGAACCTCTTGCAGAGCCACAACATCCAAATTGTACCCATTTACCTCATTCGCGACCGATTTTAGCCCCCCTGCTGTGTTTAAACTCTTTACGTTCCACGTACCAATATTTAAATCCCTATATTTCAACTTGTGCCATGAATCCCCTAAAGCAGTCCCCACCCGGAGACCCGAACGGGGGACTAGTTTACATCCAGATAATGAGCGTTTTACCTTAGGGAGATCCATGACTATTTGTGGTGTTTGGTGAACTAAAGATATGTGAGTAGGGCGTTTAATCCTACGTCACACCCTCCAGCAAGTCTGGTGGGCCCCTACCTCCAGCAAGTCTGGAGGTCCCCTCCCTCCAGCAAGTCTGGAGGGCCCCTCTCATTGTTGGTCAGCGAGTACATCGGACTTAGCCGGGAGGAACTTCCAAGGAATTTCCACCGACACCGGAATTCCCCACATCCGCCACCCTTGGGACGCTCCCCATATGCGGTAATGAGCGAGGATTAGTTTTTACTTATTTATATTAATTTAATGATTAATTGTTGTTATATCGTTTGATAGATCTCAGCTCCTTTACATAACAAGAACCCTTAAACCCCTAATTTTGTTATAATCATTTCAAATAAATTAAAATTGGTAATACAAGTAATAACTTGTTTTTTAATTACATGATATGTATTCACATTTTGTGTTCTATGTATAGTTGCTTGTACATTTTTTTTTTATTGCAGGAAAGAATGAAAATGTTTGGAATGAGTGATTTCTATATAGTACTTAATTATCTCTTACACTCAACTTTAAGGCAATTTTTTTCTACATTTTTATTTTCAATTTTACTGGTAACTCCTGTGAAAGGACCTGCTTTATTGGAAAATTCAAGTTTCATTTTAGTATGGTTAATGTTGATTTTTGTGTCGATTCACTCAACAACACACTGTTTAACTATTGCCTCATTATTTAATAATGGTATGTTATAATTTTTTTTATCTTACTGTAACTAAAATATAAATTATTTATTTGTTTGTATGCCTCTACCTGCTAGGGTCATTGGCAACCCTCAATTAGGTTTATATATGCGCATATTTTTAAAAATTAAGTTGATCTATTATAGAACATTTAAAATCTGGATGACAGCAATTATTTGGTACAATTTAAATTCAAAGCATTGTAAAATATTATTTTAAAGTTTATTACACTTATAATCATCTGAAAGACTTCATCTGTTTACATACATGTTTATGAATATGAATCTGCTGATTAAAAAGGCCTTTGTTATTATTAGCTACTATTTTTAAATTGAATGGCTTTCATAATTTTATATATATATATATATATATATATATATATATATATATATATATATATATATTTATTTGATTTAAATTAAATTCAGTCTTGTAAATTCCAATGTAAATCAAACATTATACAATATCTTTGGTTCCCTGTGAATTGTGTGGTTAGTGCAAATAACCTATTTTCAGTAAAATGCTATTGATTTTTTTTTTTGCTTATATTTGTTTATTTAGAAATATTACATTCTGTCACATTAAGGACATGTATAAAAAAAAAAAAAGGAATTTTCACAGGTAAAAAAATCATATTTTCAGAAAGATGTTATTGAAAGTTTGGAATTGTCACAGGCGCAAGTTCAATTTTTGTGTTTTAATCCATGATTCACAAAGTAATATTCTGTAATAATTGCTTAACTTACACATTAGAAACTAAGAAAGAGATAAAATTAGCTTTCTGGTCATACCCATAAAAATTCACAAAATTGTACTTAACACACTATTCACAGATATATCTTTAAATGTATGTTTTTATGTTTATTGTGATACATTTTTTTTTTTTTTTAATTTTAAAACTTTATAAGAACATATGTTTATTGTGATACCTTACTTTATATGTTGATGATTTAATTATAAAATAAACACAAATCTATTTTGTATTACTTTTTTTTAAAATTAATTTGGATTCTATTGATTCTTGACAAATTTATTTTATCAGTACAAGCATTTTGGTTTCTTTAATAATAATTACAGAGATATATTTGTTGCCCGGAGATAATTTTTAATTTGTTTTCAGCAATTTTTCGCCAATTGGTTGTTACTTCTACATTTATTTATTTCTCTTTATGGATTTTAAATGGATTTTTAAAATCTTCATTCTCAGTGATTGCTCTGATCTTAGGGGATTTGTTTGCACCATTCTGCTTGGTTCACATTAGTCAAATATCCTGTCAATTGGAATCTAGTAAGCATTTTAAAATTCTATTATTCTTATTTTTATTATCTTATTTAATTTATGTAATTTTGTTTTACTTTATTTATTCCTATTACTTTCTAATACAATTTTATTACAAAAGTCTTGGTGCATAAGTATAACAAATTTAGAATAATTAACAAGGACAGAAATGAGGGCTTTTGAGCCTCAGATATATATAAATGTATTTACAAAGTTAATTAATAGATTTACTTAAATAGAGGGGGAAAAAATTTATCTTCTAGTTTAAATCGATTAAGAAGAAAAAAATAATAAATATTTACAGAAGTTTCTATTTACAATTTTAGAGGGACTGGATGGAAAGGAAGTGATTGAATAAATAGGCTTTAAAAGTAGGGAGAGTATTGGAGCGACGGATGTCGGGAGGGATGGAGTTTCATAGGGATGAGAATCGAATAATAAAATATTTATTGAAAGCAGCGATTCGGTGGGACATTATATATAAATCTGAAGGCCAGGAACGGGTATTGTGGGATTGGACAGAGGATTTAAATTGAAGGAGCTCGGAGATGTATGAAGGAACGACTTGGAAAAGGAAGGATGCCAGGAAATATTTATGGCGGTAGAAAGGATAAAGCCATTTCAACTCTTCATAGAAACAGGAAACAGGGCGTCCTTTGGGATCCCGAAGATGAATCGTACAAAGCAATTATCAAACATTTTAGTTTCGCCTCAAGATCCCCAGGGACGCCCCATTTATCATGCTTTAAAAAGGTGACCAGGAGTCTAGGAATTTCAAAAGGAAACAGGTGCCACAGGCTATTTAAGTGTTTTAGGGTGGAAAAAGTACATCGGGAGATATTGGATACATGGTTTTTCCAGGAAAGGGTTTGATCAAAGATTATTCCAAGGTTTTTGATGGTGGAATACAATTTGAAGGAATTATAATATTTGGCTTATACTTGAAAATCTATCTGAAACGAATAATACGATAATGGAAATTTTGAAATATATTATATAAAATTTTCGATTATATGGCATAACGAAAATAAGGAAAATAACCTTCAAAAATAAAAATGGTCCGATAATAGTTAACCTAAATTCAATATTTAAAAAAAAAATATTATGAAAACAAATTTAAATTGGCAAAATCCGATGAATTTAAGAGAATTGTTTCCATTTAAGATTTTAAAAGATATGCTTATATATTTATTCATTGCTTGACTTTTAGTTTTGAGGATTTGTTCAGAATTGAGTACAGAAGTTTTAATATTCTATCTAGGCATAGGTGTTTCTCTTTCACATGTGTGTGGCCAGTTCATTCTTCAGTTGAAAGTGAATCCTAAGTAATGAACTATATGAAAAATATTTGCAGAAAAACAATAATTAATCAAAAAATTACAAAAACTTTTATTAACCTGTTAACCGAGTGGGACATACAAATACGTCTAACATAAACAATATCTGGTACGGGTAGGACATATGAATACATCCTTGAAATGTATATTGCCCCCTGGAACGGAGGGGACGTATATTTTCTAACAACAAAGTTTTTTTCTTTTTAAGTTTATTGTTCTGTAATTGTTTTTTGTTTTTTTAAGTATCTAAATAAAAAATATATAATTTTTTTTAATCTTTATAATTGTTTGTAAAATTTATAGTTTTTTAATTTGATGTTTCCATTTTTTTTGTATTTTTTTATTTTCTTTTGTGCTTTATTTATAAATAAACGAAAACATATATATATTTCATAGTCTTTTCATTTATTTTAAGCATAAATAAAAAAATAATATCCGGGCATGACGTATTGACACTTCCTAGTGAAAGAGTTCGCGCCCGTTATATGCTGCATAATTAACAAGGGAATTCCCCAGATAACAGGTTAACTGACTCATAAGGGAGATAGACTATGCCTTTATAGAAACTTTTTGGTTGGAAATTCAGTGTAGAATTGATGATATTTTTTTTATCTGTCTTTATTTAGAACAATCTAAGTATATATGCTCAGCTTTTTTTCTTTCTTTTTTTTTTACAATAGCTGGCCACAATAATAGTTTTCAACTATATCTTCATCCTATAATTAAGTTTGTAACCTTATAGTTGAAAGAATTTCTTCTTTCCTTAGATGTTCATGAATATTTTTGATAAATACTACGAAGTGATTTTTAAACTCAACCCAAATTTACTGCTGATTTCTTCTGTAACCATTTTAAAATTCTGAGCTTCCCCTGAAAATTTCAGAATCTGAACTTCCACTATTATGACTTTTAGTTTTCTACATTTAACTACATCTGATCTACATATTTGTTTCATCTGCACAATTTGGTTTAACATTCTACACAATATTTTAATGTTCTTTTGACCTAACTGTTTTATTACTGTCTTTTCAGTTTATGGATGATATAGAATTGTGATACTAGTTTCAACATTCCCTGAATTTCTTTCTTCAAATGTTATTGTCTCTGTAAAGGTTTCGAATATCAATTTCAATATGTTAAAGCATTTTTTTTACAGTCTTCAACTGTGTGAGATTATTTAAAAACTAACTCCTTGTAAAAAGTTTGCTTCATCTAATCCCATGACAATATCTATCATATAAGATGTCTTTTTTTTTTCATTATTGCTTTTTTTAAGTATATATTATATTGCATTTTAGATTACTTTTATTCTTATAAATTTAAGTAGTAATACTTATCCTAGTTAGTTTATGTGTTTTTTTTTTATTTTTAATTATTTTTTTAATATCACAGAAATATATCTATCAAGTATAAATATTGCTTTTGCAGATGGTGGTATAACCTTCAGTGAACTATTTTCTTCAAATGCTATGGACTCAGATTTACCACTTATTGTAGTCTTTTTGTGTATGATTACTGGGTCTATTTTAAACATGCTTTTGTATGTTTATATGCTGAATGTTAAACCTGGGCCTTATGGCAGTGCTAAACCTTTTTATTTCATATTACCTGTAAGCTAATTTTATTTTTATTACTATTTATTTCCCTGTATCTTGAAATTATCATCTTTATCTGTTTTGTATCAAGAAACATTTTGTTAACGTTATATTTCTACGGTGTGTTTTATTTGGGCTACTTTCCTGACTATCTTCTCATTAATTGTCCAGTCAACTATTTCATGCATTATAGAATAACTTTGTTAGCTTAAGGATTATTATTATTATTAATAATAATGCTCAGTAGCAATTATTATTTTTTCTTAATGCTTCACCAATTAATGTGTCAATGTAGGTGTGTATATCATGGTTTTATTTGATTTAATATAAAATCCACATTGATCCATCTGGAGGAATTGGTTGCCGGTTTACTATTCGGTGACGTTTAGTATCTTTTTCATGAGATGATAGCCTTTTTAACTGTTTTTGTAAAGCTTTTCTCCACAGCCTAGAAAATTGCTGGACATCTCTTGCTCAGCTTAGTCCAGCATTATTACTGCATTGGATGGTAACACTAGTAGTTACTGCTACAACTATTAGCAATGCTGACAGCGACTTTAACACCTCCTCATGCCTTATTTTGACGAATAAATTGTTTATAGTCAAAAGATTCTATATACCTATAATGGTAAGGTTATCTGATATCCATAAACGACTGTACATATAAAATTTCTCTAAGTCATTGTCCATTCAAGTGTAAAAAAAATAAATATTGTAAATAGGCTTATTTTTAAATTTGAATAGAGGATTACTGATCCTGGGGGATCCTGAGAATGGATTGTTATGCCATTTACTCTTGTCTCCTTTTTTTTTTTTTTTATGATTACTGGTTCTAATTTAATTGTTTTTTTTTTTTTTTTTGTACAGTGTGTGTTCAAAAAGTAGCCAAAAATGTTATTTTTTGAAAACAATTTTATTTATTTGTATATAACAATGTTATCACCTTCAAATTATTCCCCATTAGATATTATACACTTATGCCAATGTTTCTTCCAGTCCCGAAAACACTACTGTTACTGGATCTTTGGGAATTTTTTAAAAAGCATTTAGTTCTCATCTCTTTTTTCTTAAAAAACGATGCCTTTTAAAGTTATCTGTACTTTCACTTACATTATATGAAATATATAGTAATAGAAAGTTTTGCATCCGTGAAAATTTTTGGAATTTCAGTTTTCAACGGTGAGAACACGTTTTGAGTCCACTGGGTCTAAATAGTTGTTATACCAAGTCCCATAAAATGGTCTGTGTGTGTTATAAGTCTAGCTCAAAAACAAAAAGTCGTACGAAAATGAAATTGCATATATAAGGTTTTTATATGCTTGGGATGTTAAGCAACTTTTTCATCAAAATCGGCAAACCAGAATGAGTAGCACTTTATATCTTCAATTTAACACATTTTTATAATTTTCTCAAAAACAGCTGTAACGATTTTGATTAAACTCATTATATCAATGTAAAGTTGAGCAGTTTTTAATACAATCTGCAATTTGTGTAAGTTTTATTCTCATTGATGTTCTCTAACAGGGCTTTTGATTATTTGAATTAATTAACCATTTTACATTGAACTCTTATATAAAAAATAAACCTAGCAAAACTGTTAATAGATAGATATATAGAAAATAAACTTTATTCTGGGACAAGGTTACTTAAGAATGATAAGTATATAAAATTAAACAAAATTAATAACATATGACTTCAAAGACTTCACTAAAATAACATTGACAATGGAGTGAGATATTATTAATCTGGCCGCAGTTAAAGATATAGTCATCAGCAGTACTATGTTCCTGCATGAGGGCGTCCATAAGTACACCTGGGTAAGCCCCAAAGGAGTGAAAAAACTAATTAAACATTTGCTGGTAGACAAGATACCTCAGAGCTCAATAAAAAATGTAAGAAGCTATCATAGAGCAGATTGTGATACGGATCACACTCTGATTACAATTAAACTATGTCAGAGATAAAAGCTATTTCACAAAACGAGACCAAGTGGAAAGAAGGAGGTACAAAGTCCGTAATTTGAAAAATCCTGAAGTAACAACCAAAAAACAACTTAAACTGAAGAATAAATTCAAACCCTTGGACTCAGATAGCCTCAAAATGGACGTACACTGGGAGTTAATACAGACAGGACTAGAAGAAATAGCTAAGGAACTGATAGATATTCTGAAGAAATGAAAAGCTAAGAAGTGGTTCACAGAATTACTCGAAAAGCCAGTAGAGGAAAGAAGAAAAATGAATGAAAGTTGCCTACAAGTTACTCTGGGCAATTATACATCCGCCAAGAAAAAGACAAACAAAATTATAAGATCAGAAAAAAGGGAAGTCCTCAAAGAAAAATTGGGAACCATTGAGAACAACTGGATATACACAAATTCTATGTATACATTAGGAAAGAAAGGGTAGGATATAAAGCAAGAAATATGCAAATGTGAGGGAAAGATGGAATTGTGACAGCATCTAAAGAAAACAATATTTAGCATCTGTCACAGAACATTTCCGACAGCTTCTCAATCAAGGGGGTCCCATGAACAAAGAAAATATAGACTACTCCCTTTCCCTCTCCCGAGGACCTCGACTCAGAAGAGTTAAAAAAACCAGATATGCTGGATGTGCAAATAACTATAGAAAAACTTAAAACCAAAAAGCCCCCAGGGATGGACAATCTATCATCAAAAGCCTGAAGGGGAGAAGCCTGAAGGTTCAAATTACTCTAGTTAGAGTAATTTCAATTCCAAAGCACTCTTGTGATTGTGTGGACATGAACTTTCTTTGGAAAATCATGACTGAAATGAGAGTTAGTGAGTTTGACAAAGGTGTGTACAAATGACCCTAAATGTCGTGTCCTAATACAAGATGAAGAAGTATCTGAAGCCTTCAAAGGTTAAACTGGTTTAGTTAGTCTGTTATAGCCATCCTTGGAAACAATGAAGACATTGAGAAACTCGTTAAGACTCTGATAAGTAGAGAAGCAGAGTGAATCCCAAAACATTAGTGTTTTTTATTTCCATGTGTTTTTTTTATCAGTGAATACTAAAATCTTTAACATTATTTGCATATTTGTGATTACAAAATAAATTGCAAACTTAAACAATTTTCCACATGATCACAAAATTGAGAAAAAAATGCCCTATAAAAATATTAGGCCGTTTGGCGTGACCTCCATGTCAAAATAACAGGTTATGTAGACCAGACGGCCTAATATTTTTGTAGGTCATCTTTTTTATATATTTTATAATCAAATTATTTTACTATTCAAGTGGATAGCAAATGGGTATTTATGAGTTTTAAGCTCCTCATTAAATTAATTAATTTAATAAGGAAACGCCCCATTTCTAAGAATTTTCATAGATAAAAGAATTGTAGGTTACAATAACATGAAGTCATTCACGAAGTTTAAGGCGGATGTTAATAATTTAATGAAAAGGGAAGGGGTCTGTACCAAGGACTATTATTTATATTAATTTTTATTTTTAAATGGAATTTAATAAAATTGGTACTAAGCCGTTTGTACTCTGTTCTCTGCATTTCCTCCAACCTTGGGTCAAATCAAACAAGCCGTTTTCAAACTATAGGAGTGTCAAAACCAATATGTTTGGAGATTTGAAAATGGAATTGGTTTTTGAAAGTAGTGGATAGAATTTGATACCTATTTGATCATACATGAATATGTGAAATAAGAATTTTATTAAATCAATTATTGTCATCGTACACAAATAAATTAGTTTGTGCTTTGTATATCCAGTTATCAGATGTGGATGAAGGTGCTCCTGCAATTGAAATATCAAGTTTTTTTAAACCAACGGTAGCTCTACACCAACCTCTACTTTTGTTACTGAAGGTTGCCTAATGATACAGGATTGTGTTCTCAAGGTCCATTAATTTTAGCACGCAGGATAATATCAAATCTCTTTGGTACTATCCTGCATGCTAAAACAATTATTTATTTAGTCCTACAAGAACCTGGACTTCTCTTATAATTTTCCTTTACTCTCCTCTACCCCGGCCAAGCATTCGCCATCTTCGGATTCCCATTCTTTTCAGGATATTCTCTTCCTCGTCCAGCCATCTAAGGCGGGATCTTCCTCTTCCACGTTGTCTACCAGGTCGATCCTCAAGCAACCGTTTGGGAATTGCATCTCTGGGCATATGTGCCACATGGTCCAACCATCTAACCTGGTTACCCCCTCACAATTGAGACCAAATCCAGTCTCACAAACATCTCATGCAGCTCTTAATTGGTGAAAATTCTCCATTTTCCATGTTCACACACCGAATTATAGATCCTATGGAGAACTATTCTCTCCCATGTGAGTAGCCATTTTTCTGAAGCTTAAGAGATCACCCAATTCTTAAAACCATAGGTGATAACGGGTCTGACTTTCTCATATACCTTTGTTCTGCGAGAAAGGGATCTATTATTCAATAAGACCCATTTGTTCTAGAATGCAGGATAGTACCAAAGTTCTTTAGTACTATCCTGCATGCTAAAACCATTTTTTATTTATTTATTCTTTGTCGTACAGTCCTACTAGAACATGGGCCTCTTATGATCTTCCTCCATTCTCCTCTATCCCAGGCTAGTATTTGCTATCTTCGGATTCCCATCATTTTCAGGATGTTCTCCACCTCGTTCAGCCATCTTAGGTCTGGCCTTTCTCTTTCACATTTTCCACCTGGTAAATGGAGCAAGTGTTTAGGAATCACGTCTCTGGGCATACGCACCACATGGCAGTTCAAATACTAAGTTTTGTTCATGAATATATTTATTAAAATATAAAAAAAATGTTGATGTTAATCTGTAAATAAAAGCTTTTTCTTTTTTTTTTTCAGAACAAATGCTTATCATTGTTTAAAATATCACCATTAAATTCAGATAATGATGAAAATGAAAGACATTTAAGAAGAGGGTTGTATGAGAGTGTTCCTGATCGTGTTGAAGTTGGAATAAAAATTATGAATCTTAAAAAAAAATTTGGTCATTTCACATCTGTTAAAAACTTATCATTAGATATATATGTTGGACAGATTACTGTTCTGTTAGGGCATAATGGTGCTGGAAAAACAACTACCCTTTCAATGTTATCAGGTATACAAAAATTACCTTTCAAATATATTTTTACAAAATTTTAAATGTATATTTAAGTATGAAACTGATTCATCAATAATTAATAAATTATTAAAATAATACTGTTTTATGTCATATTGATCTCTTTATTTATGTTATATATTACTCAGTGGAGTCAGTCTTTTGTTTCTTGCATATATTTTTACTTCCTCAACTAACTAAAGTGGAGGTAAGCAATTAAAAAAAAAAACCTGTACTACTACAAACCACATAGATATTAGCGCGATATTCTTGATATTAGCGCATAGTAAGGTAGCACTATTTCTAGACCAATGGTTGTGCAAGGAAGCCTCCAGGTTTTTCACAATTAAGAGTACCATTTTATTTAGGATCATTGTACCTCAGAGGTCTCCTGATCCTAGGATCGATCCACAGTTGAATGAACAGTATAAATAATTATTTGGCTCAGCCATTCTCGAACCTGGTCCTGAGAAAATTTTTTTTTTTTTTTTTCTTAAGCCAGTCGTTGGTCATTTGACCATCCGATATCTTGCTGCCCAGTATAATTTAGAATTTCTGATATGTATATTTGAAAATATTTTTTCTGTTATGTCCCTCAAGGCAGAACATGCGTCTATATGGTCTGCATCCATTGTTCCTTGATGACACAGTTTACATATAGGATCCTCAGCCACGCCTATCTTGTAGAGATGACTCTGCAGATAGTCGTGACCAGTGGCCAGGCGGAAGCAGGCAACTGCATCTCTTCTCGGCAGCTCAGCTGGAATCGGATTATCCTTCAACCACTCGTAACGCTTCCCTTCCACTTTGCCGAAATGTACTTTTCTTATTTCTTCCTTCACTACCATCTTTACCATTCGCCGTATTGTGTCGTAGGGTTTTGGATGTATCGGCTGAGGCAAATCTGTTCCTCGCTTGGCAAGACTATCAGCCTCAACGTTACCCGGAATTCCACAATGGCTGGGGATCCACTGTAGGACCACATTGGTGCCTCGGTGTGTCAGGTTAGAGAGGAGGGATTTACATTCCAATATAGCACTCGATAAACATTCATTTGTGCTTGTAACAGCAAGGATGGCTGCTTGGGAGTCGATGAAGAGAACAGCGCTCTGATCCCGCCTTCTAGACAATGTTCTTAAGGCTATGAGGATCGCCGCTATCTCACCGTTGAAATTTCTTCCATCTTTACCCACCGCAGCGCTGATTTGGATTTTCCTTGAGTAAACCCCTGCTCCAGCATTTTTAACGGCTGATTCAGCTGTTCCGTCGGTATAGATATGGAGCCAATCTTGAAGAGGGTACTTTTGAGCTATGATTTCTAATGCTAATGCTTTTAGCTCGTATTCAGGTGTTTTTTTCTTATCCACTTTATGAAGGAGTTGCAGTTCTGCATTGCATGCGTGATTGTGAATTGGTAACTGTGGGTGTATAAATGGTCCCTGCAGTCAAGCCCTCTTTCTTCAAGTAGTGCCATCGCCTTCAGCATGAAGGATTTTTGTGTCTTGAGCCGTTGAGAGGGGAATTTGTATTTTTCCCAAAACTCTTGGTCTATTCTTTTCATTCGCTCGTGAAGGCACATTGCAGCTCGCTCACGCCGTTTCGATAGAGGTTCTACTGTGGTCTGCAGTTCCATAGCTACAACAGGGGTTGAGCGCGGTGCACCCAAAATCAAACGCAGAGCTTTGTTCTGCTGGTCGTCTAATTTTTTCAGGGATACATTTGCCGCAGTACAGATGACTTCAGAACCATATTCCAGTACTGGGCGTACATAGGTTTTATATGCAAGACCCATCACATCCTGGGTGGCCCCCCATGTCTTTCCTCAAAGGCGTTTCAGAAGTTTTAGCCTGTTTTCCCCCTTTTCCACCATCTCTTCAATTCCAGATCATTTTTGTATCTAACCTAACTCCCAGATATTTGCCTGCATAGGTTCTTGTTAAGGGAACATTATTGTAGATGATTTCCAGCTCGCACTCTTTTGTTGATAAGGTGAACAGTTGGAATTCAGTTTTCTGCGTATTTACTTCCATTTCATTACACTTGGCCCAGGTAAAAAGTCTTGCCATTGCCTCATTAATTGCTGCTTCGAGTGCTGATATGCTGCTACTAGTGGCATATACTAGTAGATCATCAGCGAACAGTAGAGCAGATATTCTGGGTATTCCCTCTAGTACAGCCATTAAGTCATCAATCATTATATTAAAGAGTGTGGGGCTTAAAACAGATCCTTGTGGACCTCCCTGACTAAAAGTTCTGAAGCCTGAACACCAGCCATTGTATCTTACTCTGAGAAACCTCTGGGCCAAGAAGGAATGTATGGCTCGGTACATTTTTTCATTGATGTTCATTTTGAGGAGTTAATTCAGAAGTACTTTCCGTCAGACTCTGTCTAAAGCAGTTTTAAAATCACCATATACTGCAAGAGTATGTTGTTTGAGTTGGAATCCGTCTTTTACATCCTCACTAAAACGAGCCACCTGCTTAGTTGTACATCGGTGCTTCCGGAAACCTGCTTGCTTTGATGACATCTTGTTTTCTCTATCCAGATATATCTGCAACCGGGCTAGGACCATTCTCTCGTAGAGCTTAGAAAAAACACTTGTGAGCGATATAGGTCGGTAGTTAGATGGGTAAGAAGAACATTTACCTTTCTTGAGAATTGGGACAACCTCAGCCTTCCTCCAAGCACTAGGATATTGTGAACTCCAAACAGCATTGAGAAAATCTAGCACAGTGAGCTTGGCTTTTGCATCCAGGTGAATAAGAAACTCTGGTAATATGTCATCAGGGCCACCGCTTTTCCCCTTCTTTGTTTGTGCCAGTGCGAGTTCAAGCTCTTCCTTACTGAAGTCGTCTTCAAAGAGTTGGGCTTCAGAGGAATTCAGACATAGGATTTGTTGTTTGGTATTAATTTTCTTATTTCCTACTGCTGGCTTATAATTAGAGGCCTTTTGCAAAGAATTTACAAAAGTTTCTTGCTATGGCAAGTCCGGTATATATCTCTTTGTTATTGAACTTCAGAGGGTTGTTCCTTGGGTCTTTGCCGCCATTTAGCTTTGAGATGAATCTATGTGCTTTTACTCCATCTCTTTGAAAGTCCAGACTAGCCAAATATTCTCTGAAAGCTTTTCTTTTGGCTTGAATTATATTGTATTTAAGGGTTTCTGTAAGTTGTTTTAGCCTTACTATATCTTCCGGTTTCTTTGACATTTCTACATCTTTTCTTGCTGCATCTCTACTATCTTTTAGTTTCTGTAGTTTGTCACTCCAGAATGGGGAGTATCTTTTCATAAATCCCCGAGGAATGGACTGCTTTGCACACTCGAAAATTGCCGTTTAAGTCGGGCGCAGCTTATATCTACATTTTCCGTAATGGTTTCATCCGTAATGGCTGTGTGAGTGAGCTGAGAGAATTTATTCCAATTGGCTTTTTTCAGATTCCATCGGAGCATTCGAGGCACTGCTGACAGGCCACGATTTCCTTCAGAAGCACCTCCACCACATCGGTGTAAAAGATAGCCCGACATGTCCTCTATGTTCCTTAGACATAATGACAGGAGAACATCTGGATACATGCCCTGCATTACAGGACATAAGATGTTGCTTTAATGAAATGGACAGCTATTATGCTCGGAGAGCAAAATTGTATTGGACTGCAAGAGCACGCATGGCTAACGAAGCAGGCGTTACTTAGGCGTAGGAAAAAAAAAAAAAAAAAAAAATTCGAGGCACTGAATCATTTTAAGACTTTAAGTTGCCATTAAGATAGGCAAGCATTATCCTGCGACCAAATGCTCCAGGTGGAGAGGCAACAGTGTGGGAGCTATTCGTGGGTGCACCAATAATAGGTCAGGGTGGGAACTATTACCTTTGTAGTCCAGAAAAGTAGGCTTTGAATTTTCGTTTTCACAAATTCAATCATATTTGTATCGATAAATTCCTCCAGAGTTTTCCCCGCTGAATTTGAGTTTGTCTAACCCCAGCGCCTGGAGTGTGCGTTGAAGTCTCCATACACAAGGGATTTGTCCGTCAAAGAATCCTCCAGCCAACCCAAATTCGGTTTATTATTAGGGGGGTTATAGATGATAAATATTTGGTGGTGGAAATTGCTTGACCACAGATTGATTTCCACTCCTTCCAATTTATCATTTGCATCCATTTCCTTTTTAACTTGAAACTTGACCGTGAAGGAAGACCTTACACCAACAACTATTCCTGATGCTATCTGCCTAGCTCTTGGCAGTGAGTAAATTTGGAAATCTGGATACCTGAAGTATTCAAGACTATCAGTAGCAGCGCCTGCCTTAACAATGCAAAATAGATCAATTTTATTTGAGGATATAAAATGCTTCAATTCTGTGTACTTTTCACTGGTAAGACCACCTGCATTCCAAAAAAGAGTCTTTAAGATAAAGTTGTTATGGCCTTGAGAAAGTTGGTCAGGCTTTATGCTGGCCGCGCTATGAGTCGCTATTGGTGACACTGGGAGTCTGGCGACTATGTGATCGTTTGGTTGGTTATCCAGGGGCACGACGAGGACGAGATCACACCACTCCCGGTCCTGAGAAAATAGGATGCACCTTACTCAATGAGGTCCCCAGTTCCCCACAGTAACCAGACTTTTATATTTATTTATTTACTATTTAGATCTTGTTAATTTATACCTTTTAGAGTCCCCTTAATTTATCCACGCAGAGTCTGAAATTGATTTTTTTTTTTTATTGCACCACAGCCTATTGTACTCTGTATTTTAACTAGAGAGGGATGGATAAATCATAATTTAATAATAGTTTATCCTTTCTCCTAAAGCCTGCTCCTGAGACTTGATCTGTGTAATGGAGCCAACTTTATAGCAGTTGTTATTATTTGGATATCATTATCATTATTTGACCTATACTGCTTAGTTTTTTTCAATTTGGACTCAATACTTAATGTCTAGAAACTTCAGAGTGCATAGCAAGTACCTTGTCTTCAATTTGTGCATATAATTACTAGTATTCTTCTTACTTAAGAACTTGGGATTTTGTATCGGTTTCACAAGCCATAAATTGTATTCATGACTTGAACTTCAACCTAAATCTATATATCTTGATTAGTGTATGCCTAACTAACCACTATCTAGCTGACAGTGTAATAAAGCCATTCAGGAAAATTATAGCTTGAATCCATGCACTGATATTTCTAAAAAAATTATTATTTGTAAACATTCTATTCATTTTTTTAATTTTAACTAAAATATTTTTTACTTGACATGCTTTTTCAAAAACACCTCCCTAACACATGTATAATTAAAATGAAATGAAAATAATTTTATTATTCTGGGATTGAAATGAAATGAAAATATATTTTATTATTCTGGGACTGTTGTCCCTTTAGAACAAATTATAAGTGCTGAATACATGTGTAAGTGGTCATAAATAGAATCGATATTTGCAATATTGGTTATTTAAAAGTAAAAATACAGACGGAAAGAGGGAAAAAGACATAAAAGCGTAAATATGCATACATAATAAGCGTACATAAAGTGCAAATAATACAGACAGAGAAAACTAAAATAACAGAAATATTTTCTGGGGGTACTTAGATAGCTCTCTTAGGTATAATTCATAATCAGGCGGATTGAGAAAGGAGTAGGTGTTTAAAGAGGAGGGGTTTGAAAGAGGAAACTGATTCTGCGTGTCGAATATCAGCAAGGATGGAATTCCAGAAGGAGGCGGCTTGAATTGCAAATGACGGGATTGGATGGAGTATTTAAATTGTAAACTATGGAAAATATAGGAGGGTCAATGAGTTCTAATGATCTAGTACAGAAAGGTAGCTAGGAATTACTGACGGTGATAGGATGGATAGAGCCACTTCAACTCGGTGTAATACTGAGTAATATGCGTATCTCTTAAGATTCCGAATTGACACTGCCGGATTAAGGATGGGAGGTCATTAGGTAGAAAAAAGGGTGGGGGAAAGGGAAAAGCCTTGTGGGACATCGCTGGACAAGGGTAGAGATTCAGATGGGGGGCTATTTGGGATCACAACATACTGGGAGTGACCGGTTAGGAAGGATTGGAACCAATTGCAGCTAGAAGAAAAGGATATATTTTTAAGTTTGGTTAGAAGAATGTTGTGGTCTACTGAATCAAAAGCTTTAGAGAAGTCAAGGAGAATAAGGATGGTTAGTTTCTGCTGATCTATGGCTGTATAAAGGTCTTGGGAAATTTTGATTAGGGCAGACTGAGTAGAGTAGCCAGGCCTGAAGACTGGTGGGGGTTTAGGAGTGTCCCTTTAGAACTATTTATAAGTGCAGAAAATAAATAAGCAGTCAGTATGTCCATAAATTAAATATTTACAAAATAATTGGTAATATAAAGTAAAAATACAGGTAATAGAAAGATAGAAAAAAAAACACACATAAATATAAAATAAACAGAAAAAGAAAAAATAAAATTAATAAATAAACCAAATAGTATCTGGGGGTACATATAGGGTTCTCTTCCATGTATTTCATGATCAATTGGATTGGGAATGAAATAGGTCCTTAAAGAGAAGAGATTTGAAAGATAAAATTGACTTTGCGTGCCGAATATCGAAAAGGATAGAATTTATAAGATAAGGATAGAATTTATTTATTTATTTATTAGAATTTATTTATAAGGATAGGATTTGACAAATGCAGGTAAAAAATAAAAAAGAAAGAAAAGTGATATCCTAAAAAAAATATTAATCAGATATTATTAATTATTTCTTTCAAAACTAGCCAGATCTAAATGAATTTTGACATCTAAAACTTAGTTGTTGTTTTTTTAAACAGTTTGTTTTAACTTTCACATCATATACTCCTAATGTATAGATACTAGCAGAAAAAAAACAAAATATTTTTAATGGGACTATCTAAAATTTCAAAACATAAAATACATTTATTTTATGATTAGCCCTCTATAATTTATGAAAATTGACTTAGATGGCGGTTTAGGAATTATATGTCTCATATATCATATATGAGAGGTGTTCTTAATACTAAAGGCTTATGATCTCCATCTTATTTTGTTATTTGAAATCACATGAATCATTATATGACATCCGGAAAGATTACTTTTATGATTACTCCAACATAACATGGCTGCATAGAGAACCAAGGGTCGAATAGCTGTAATATAAAACCAATAAATCATAGTTGACCTCAAGATTTACCTACTACTGTTTTACATTTGTTCATTACTTTTCTTATATGACTGTGCCTTTAAGTTTGAGGTCCAGAATAACAGGGGTCCCTAGAAGGGGGTTTCATGGCACAAGTTGCGCGTGCTATCTAAATTTTTGAGGGTGCACATTTGGATGGGCATTATGAATATATGGGCATTATTATTTCATTATGAATTCCCAGAATGAAAAGTTTCAAACTAGGGATAATGGGAAAACATGGATCAGGAACAATGGTCTGAAATGATTAAAGGGGTTGTCTTCAGATAGGGAATTTCAGTTTTCAAGAAAAGTCAGGGATATTTATCAAACTTATCAGAAAGTCTGGGAAATTTCCTGAAAATTTATTGCTAAAAATAGGCTAAAAGTTTGTATGAATTGACATAAGTTGATTGCTGATGAACAATGAGGAATGCAAGAAAATGCCAAGAGTTATTATGAATTGCTTGTCATTGAGAGCTTCATAGCTTTAAAAGTATAATGCAAGCAGCATAATATCCCTATCATATTGCTATGTTTTGGCGCCTACTCATTGTTATGGAGTTAAATATATTTATTATAAATAAAATTAAGGGATGGCATGAAATATATAAATTATTGATATTTAATTATCTGCCTAATTTAATGTTGTTATTAATAACACTTTACTTTGAGATATTACCTCTCTCCAAAGGTACTACGTGGGGTAATTTTACTTGGTCGATAGTGCCAGGTGATTTGACCTAGATCATGCTCACCCACCAGATATTCCCCTTAATCAATTATTTAATTAAGGGTACCCAATTTATAGAGGCTAGTTGTGCCCCAGAAGTGTCTCCTGACCTCAGGGTTGATCTGTGGTTAACGAGAAAGAATTAATTATTTATCTGCCTTCAGTCAGATTCTGAGGAAACCTGAGACCTTGAGCATACAAAATCAGCACCCTACCACTGAGCTACCCCACTCCACTAGAAACCATTACATAATTAATTATATCGACTAAAGACTCGTTAACATTCAATTAAGTATAATATAATTTTTCTATCATGTTTTTTTTATATTTTGGGTTATTATGTTTCAATTGTATAAAAAAATTCATTTAATTACATTTTAAATTACAACCTATTTTATACAATTTAAATCAGCTTCCTGTCAGGCGACAGAATTCGCTTTTCTGATGTTACCATTAGATGGTGATTTAAAATTCCTTAATATTTATCATTTGTCATCAATTTGAGTTAGTTTTCTAAATCATTCATTTCTTCTTTGTCATCTCGTCTTCTACACCTCTCTTCCCTATTGACTTGCATGTTTCTATTTTTTTTTCTTTCCGTTTTTCGGATGATTAATTATAACCAATTGCTGTTACATTTACACTATGTACTTTCCACTTTATCTATTTTTATGTATTCTATTTTACTTTTTCATATTCCTCCATCTAATGCTACTGCATTTATCCTTCATTTTTCTATTATTCTTGTATCTAATTTTTCTTAGCTCTAATGAAGCTGAAATGGTTAGTATAACTAATGATTTTTTACTGAAATGTCAGCACACTTTAAAACAATATGTTATTGTTATGGTTCTGATCATACCCTAACCATCTTCTTAATGTTATCTACTATCAATTTCATTTTCACTATTATTTATATTTTACTGTATTTTCTCAGAATAAAGAAATCAGTTTTCTACAGTTAAATCTTCAAATATTAACTTTTACATTAATTATATATTTTTTATTTGAAACTTTAAACACTAGAATAGATCATATCTGAGATTATTATTTATTGTTTTATTTCAGAAACTTAATCAGTGTCACAATTTTTAGAAAAATTTACTGTATAAGAGTTTTTTTTTACCATATTTTAATTTAAATTTCTATTGTGTACATTATAATATTGTAACTCATAATTTTAGGAATGCTGTCACCATCTTCAGGATCAGCTGTGTACCGAGGATACAATATTTTTACTGATTTAAAAGGATTTCGCAAAGATTTAGGACTTTGCCCTCAGCATAATTTACTACATTTAGATCTTTCAGTGATAGATCAACTTATATTTTTTGGAATGGTAAACTATTTAATTATTTTCCAAATTTCATTAAAACTTTAGTTTTTAATAATTTTGTGCAGCACAAATGTGTGCTGCTGTAAACATTAATTTAGATCCTCCTCAGGCACTCGTCTGGCAAAGCACTCAGAAATATAGATAATAAATATCTAATATACTAGTATCTAATACTAGTGATTAGACATTGTTAGTTTTTTAAGAAAAATATTTTCGGTAGCATTTTTATAGCTGTGAGGATCAATTAGTAATGGAAACTACAAAGAAACCTCAAACTTTTTTATTTTCAAAGTGCCAGATGTCATAAGGATTGGTAGATTGAGGTGCACAGGGCATGTTTCTTGAATTAGCCCAATAACCTTGTCACGAAAAGTGGGTTGCATCAAGTGATGGTTGAACGTTTTCTTTTTTCTTTCTTGTATGGGATGTGACTGAGATGCAAAATCTAAGTTTTCGACCTCAGCGCCCCCACGGATTTTTTTTTAACATTCCAAAAACTGCTATATTTTTGCACTTTTTTTTTGGTATTTCCCCATTTTGACTATGAAGAAGCACGTTTTTGACAAAAAACATTCAATACATTTTTAAACTAGATTGAATATGCTATAATTTAAGACCAGAACAGACTCTGTAAGTTTGAGTTTTCAAGATACAGGTTTTCAGTTTGGAAAATTGTCCGAACTATATTTTAATTTTACGCTATTTTTCTTGTTTGATCATATGCAATTGTCTTTAATTATCAATAACTTTTCTGATATGAGTCATTGAAATATTTATTCAGTTTAACGTTTTTAAAGAGGGTTGAGGAAGGGGGAATGATTTGGTGGGAGAGAAGGAATGGTTTAGTGGGAGAGGGGGGAATGGTTTGTTGGGAGACGGTAAAATCCCTCTTAAAAAAAGAAACCACATGACTTAAATTGAAATAAAAAATTTATTAACAAACGTTTATATCAATTGTATGCACAGGCGGATCTACGGGGGGGGGGGGGCTTTCGGGCTGAAGCTCTCCCCTCCCCCCCAAATGGTAAAATATAACCATGATTTACAGAAAAAAATATTAAATACTATCTCTTATAGTATTCTTGTTCGTGTAATTATATTTAATAAGACTTCAAGAACCACTTAAACACTATTTCATATAGGTAGTTAATTTCTTTCCTTTTTTTCAAATTAATTATCGTTTTATGTATATGAAAAAAAAATCTTTCGGGCTGAAGCCTCCCCCAAAATTAAATTCTGGATCCGCTCGTGATTGTATGCAAAAATTGTAAATGAAGTGAATGGAATTTCCGAAACTTAAAAATATTAATCTAATTTTCATGGTTATATCTTTAATAACCTGTGTTATATGTGTTAGTGTCATTAAAAATGAGAGATAGGAACCTAATGTTTATTTATGTGAATCTAATATTATAAGTGAATTGATAAAATAAGTGAGCTAGGATGACCTGAGCCATTTATTGCGTTCGGTTTTCTTTCTAGTAAACCATCGGGCAGCAAAAATTATGCACTTACCCATTTTTCAAGGTTCTCTTCGACATATTTGAAACCAAAGTCTGACTGGTAATAAACAGTTGATTCACTCGATAATATCATGTATTTGAAATAAGTTATTTGTGATTTTGGTATCCAACATTCTCACTATTTCGGAGTCAGAATCGTCCGTTATTTCTAAGTGTTTTATATGTGGTGAAAGTTTAAATGACGGTGAAATAGTGTTGGTGAAAGAAAACAGAGTTAAAACCTTGCAAGCGTCTAGTACAACATTGATAAATTAGGATAATGAATATTTATTGAAACGTTTGACTGAAATTTATGTACATCCAGCATGGCAGAAGCGTTATAACAATCGTAAATTGATCAAAGCAGCTATTATACGTGGAGACACAAATGTGATATGAACAACAAGGGCTTCCACTGAGAAATTTAATTTCAGAGAGTTGTGTTACATTTGTTGTAAAGTCATATCAAAAGACTTCATTGAAACACAGAAGAATAAAAAAAACAAAAAAAAGAAATTCTGTGATAATTGTTGGGATGAGGGAATGTAGACTTGTTGGTCAACCTCAGTGGTCACGCACAAGGTACCATATTCTTTCAGGAGTGTGAAAAACGCAAATTGCCAGTTGTCTGTTTCTCAACAATATCAACATCTGCAGACAGCCCATCACTTTCACTCATGCCTTCAGGGGCTGTGATTCCATCTTATACTTTTTTGGCCAAGGGCAACTCAAATTGCTTCAAATATGACTGAAACATGTAGATCCTAAAGAGAAAGCTGCATTTTTTCCCTAATCCAGCTTCTAAACCTACCCAAGTAGTTAAAACCAGCAAGAAAATCAATGAACTGTAGGGTGGAGAAAGATCAAGTCAAGCCCTCAACGACCAGCCCTCAACGATTTATTCACAAAAAATGCAGCCAAGACTAGTTTCAACCTGGCCAGACTACCTCCCACACAGCATGCTGCAAAGCTACATTCATTTTTCACCACCAGGATTACTATGGCCCATGACTTTTCCTCAAAGATGGTGTCGAGGAAATAAGCCCCCTCAAATCTGCTGAACATGATTTCTTGTAGTTAAAAAAAGAGGTGTAGAAATGCTTGCAGCTGCAGAAGCTCTCCCATCAAACCATTCCCTCCTCCCCCAACCCTCCTTCAAAACGTTAAAATAAATAAATATTTTCTTTATTTAGCATACAGGTTATTGATGATATAAAGATAATTGCATGTGATCAAACATGAAAAATAGCTTAAAATTAAAATCAAGTTTGGAAAATTTCCCAGAGTTTCAAAACCTGTATCTCAAAAACTTAAATTTATCGAGCCTGTTCTGGTCTTAAATTGTAGTATATTTAATCTAGTTTAAGAATGTATTGAATGTTTATGTCGAGAACGTGGTCTTTCATGTTTGAAACGGGGAAAAACCCAAAAAGGTGCGTAAATATAGCAATTTCTGAGATATTCAAAAGTGATGGGGGGAGGAGGGGGTTAAAGGGGAGTCATGGAGGTAGAAAACTTGGATTTTGAATCTCAGTCACATGTCATACAAGAAAAAATAAATAAAACTTCTACACCCATTTGATGCAACTTACGATGTACAAGGTTACTGATTAAATGGTCTACACAAAAGTTTTTGACAAATTTTATTAACACAATTCATAAAGGAATAATATGCCTGAGATATTGGACGACATGTCTTGGAGACTATCTTTATTTCAGAAGTTATTGGAGTAGGCCATGTCCTGTGTTGTACTACCCTGATCTTATTAATAATTATAATAATGGAAGTAACTTTGTTGGTCTATTGAATACATATATTCCAATTTTTTTTTTTTTTTTTTTAAGGTAAAAGGACTTTCCAAGAAAGATGCTAAGGAACAAGCTGTTGTAATTTTAAAGGAAGTTGGTTTGTCTGAAAAAATTAATGAGGTATCATCAAATCTTTCTGGTGGAATGCAGCGAAAATTATGTATTGCCTTAGCAATGATTGGTAGACCTAAGGTAAAAAATGTGTTTCATTTTTATTTACTTATAAGTTATTGATTTAGTTTTTACTTACTACTTATTGAACTATTGAAAACATTTAGATAGTAATACAATTTTTTTTATTTAAAGCAGTTATTTGTGAATGTCATCTTTCACGAAAATATTTAATTATCTTCATTCTTTAAACTTGATTACGTACATACCTTGGCTAATTGTTGAAGGCTGTCCCAACTCTTCCATTCTCTATTCCTATTATCTCTCTCTACCTTAAATTGTTTTTCAGGGGCTGGCCAAGGTATTTTAAGATACATCTGAGTTACATAAATTTTTTCAGTTTAAATTAATTTTAGTTTTATTAGTGTAAATTTTTATTTTTGCCTTGGAAATTCATTAAATAAATCTTCACAAATCTAACAATGTTACTAACCTAGATATCTTAGGACACACTTATTTTACACATCTAACGTTTTTAAGTAATATTCATGATTCTGTTTTGCTTTTTCATTTGTTTATTTATTTTGTAGTCCAAGTAAATGATTTTCTATGAATATTGCTAGTAAGTTATTCTTAAAGTGTTGTAAATATTACAGATTATTTTTTCAATAAAATATAACTTTTACAGGTGGTCATTCTTGATGAACCTACTTCAGGACTCGATCCTGAGTCAAGAAGAGAAATTTGGAATATTTTGTTGGTAAATATAATGTTATATTTAGTTATTATCAGTGATCTAAATGATTTTACTCCTCACAATAACTTGTTTACAGAAATCACGAGGTGAACGTATGATGTTAATCACTACCCATTTCATGGAAGAGGCTGATGCTTTAGGAGATCAAATTGCTATTATGAATCATGGTGAAATTTTTTGTTATGGGACACCTTTATTTTTGAAAAAACAATATGGTCAGTTATTTTCATTTTTATTTTTTTCCTTTTTTCTTGTTACGCTTAGCCTTTCTAGAAGTACATCCATCTTCCTGCCATTGAACAATTCCCCCATTGTTGTCATCCTTTAAATCCTTTATTCTTAAAACAGAGAGTGAGATTCTCCATGTGACAGTCAATAGGTTTGACAAGGTAGAAAGATGAAAGCACCGAAGCAGGAAGTAAGGGAGGGAAACTTGGGTTATTCTATGAAGAAGGCAGGAAAACTCCTACTCTCAATTTCTTCTCTATCTTTCTTATTGCCATATGTCTTTTTTATGATGTTAAAAATTTAGTTTTAATTATGGTAATTTGTTAGATTTAATTTATATTATTTTTATTTTTGGTTTATCTGGGCCACAGTGGTCGAGCGAGTGAATGCGTCTGCTAAAATTTCAAGCTGCGAGTTTAAATCCCATTCGTGGAATTTAAAGCAATAAAAGATAAAGATTAATAAAAATATTTAATAAAAAATAAAAATAGATAAGTGCAGTCCCTACTTGATTGTTTAGACCACTACGGCGCGGATTCGATTCACGGTGACCTCCTCACCCTGAGATTCACAAGAAGGTGAGCGATTCCTGTGTCTTCCAACAACATATCTCCTGATCCTCCAGATTGGGGGTTGGGCACAGGGCCATTAATTAACTCTATCCATAAAAAAAACAATTGCATGAAAGTCTGCAATAGGGTTGCCAACCTAATGAAGAGGGAGTGATTAGTGATCGTGTCAGGTTATTATAAACCACTTGCTCCTTGGATATCTATACGAGTATGCGAGAATTAAACGATCACAGCTGTTGCCTGAAACAGCCCCGTAGCTGCTAGATGACTAATGACTGAAGTCAATAAGGCAAAAGGTGTTGGAAAAAAAAAAGTTTTGGTTTATCATTAGATTTAATGTTGATAATTTCACCTATTGTTACTTATATTTATTTATATAAAATTATTCTTATATTGAATATTTTTCAATGACTATTTGTTTTTTATGGAATATAGTATCATTTAGTTTTAGATACTTTTTTGTGTTCTCAATAATTTTAAAATGAATTTTCGTCTTTCCATCCCTCCTTCTTTTCCTTTATGGTTGAGGATGAAATACTGTTACCTATACCTGCAGGGGTCTCTGACAGTCAGTTGTGTACCAACAGTGGTTATTTGTGATTATTTTGAAGTTGTAAAATCAGACTACAATGAATAAAGATAGACTTGAAGCACGGTAAGTCTTTTTATTTGTTTATATTATGTTTTTAATTTTTCACGCTTTAGTTTCATCAAATCCTATAGTTAAAGCATACAAAATCTTGGGTTTGATAAAAAATCTGTAACTGTATAATTTAGGTCTGAACTCCATGTGATATATGTGTCACACTCGGACTTGGCACTACCTTTTAAAATTTGTATAAAATTATAATGGATTTTTTTTTTTATTAGGAAAATTAAATTATATCACTAGTAAAACTACGATGATTTTTATTTATTTGCAATATTCTGAAATTATGAACACAATTTTTAAAAAATTCCATTTTAAAGGAAACTATTTGCGAACTAAGGTGGAACACTATATGTAATTGCTTGTTTATAGTTAGGAACGATTATGAGAATTATTTTATGAAACATAGAAGAATAGAAGAAACAAATTTATTCTGGAACAAAGTCCCTTAAGAATAACAATATTGATCATAATAATTAACATTAAATCTGACCAAAATACAAATATAAAATAAATAAATCGTGGCAAATGGGTGTGTATATATAAATAATCACACAAATGGAATTCTAAATTTGAAATTTATGAAAATCATTATTATAGTATAATTTTATACAGTTTGATTTTTACTACGAAATATATTTTAAAATAATATTTTAACAAATAATTTTGTATTGCTGAGAATTGTTATTTTATTTTTCAGGAAAAAAATTTTGTTTTGTGGAGATCTCACACTTGAGAAGGCTCTCCATATCCTTGAAGCAAATAAAGATTCTATACATAGTGACAAAAGTGATGTGCAAGAAGAAGTAACTGACATATTTATTGCTCTACCTGAACCAATAATCTCATGGGCGAGGACAGTGCTGATGAAGATGAAAGAGGACTCATCGACAACCTTACAGCTAGACAGGTAACCAGTGATAACAGGTAACAGCCAACATAGAAGATGGATTGAAGGTGATTTGCAAAACATTTCTTATGATAAATTTACCAGAGAATGGCATGAAAAATTCAAACATTTAACTCCTGTAGAATGTTTTGAAATGTATTTTACAGAAGAATAATAAATATGCCCCAGATCACCACTGATGAAATCAAAGCATTTTTTGGCATACTTTTATTGAGTGGATATGTGGTTTTGTCTGGAAAGAGGTTTTATTGGGAAAGAAAAGAAGTTAACAACATTTTAGTTTCCAATTGCATCAGAAGAGATCGCTTTATTCAAATAATGAAATTTACCCATGCAACAGATAATTCCAAAAGCTCAACAATCTTGACAAAATGAACAAGTTGCATCCATTTATGGATATGATAAATGAAAATTTTTTGAAATATTTTATTCCTTGTGAAAGTCTAGATTACGATGAGGCAATGGTAAAGTATTTTGGTCATCTTGGAAACAAACAATTTATCCGGGAGAAGTTATTTCATTTGGCTTCTCTGGTTAAATTTTTGGTTAACTCACCAGAAGAAAAATAAAATTATCCTTACCATGTATATATATGGATAACTTGTTCACATGTTTGAACCTTTTGAAATGCCTCGAAGAACGAGGTTACCATGGGACAGGGACAATTCGTGATAATCGAATTCCGAAAGATTGCCTATTGCCAAATAAAGCTGCAATGAAGAAAATGCAAAGAGGAACAGCTGTAGCTGCTCTTGAAAAAGAAGACGGCATTCTTATTTGCAAGTGGGTAGATAGCATCTGTCGCTTCAATAGCCCATGGTTTGCAACCCTTGGCCAGGGTGAAACGATTCTGCTACAAAGGTAGAAAAAAATATATCAATAAATCAGCCGATATTGATTAATCAATATAATAAATATATGGATGAATCTGATCAAATGGATGAAGACATCAGCCAAAGAAGGATCAGCATTCGTGGCAAAAAATGGTGGTGGCCATTATTTACATTGCTTATTGATGCTACCATGAACAATGCATGGCTCACATACAGGCAAGCTGGTCATCCTGCTTGTCAAAAATTTAATTTTAGACGAGCAGTCCTTCAGTATTATTTAGAAAGATAAATGATTGCTGAGCCACCAGGGCCATCTACATCTTCTGGTTTCAGATCTTCTTTATGATTGATATTCGCTATGATCGACTGGGATCACTTGGTTGAACCAATTACCAAGCACAAGCGATGCACAAGTGAAACGTGTAAAAGTACTGTAAATACAATTTGTGGTAAATGAAAAGTAGGCTTGTGCGTGAAATGTTTTAACTCGTACCATAAAAACTAAATATATATAGGTATACCATAAAAAAAAAAAACATTTATTGGTTTAATAAAATTATTAATAAAAGTTATTGTGTTAGTTATTATTACTGTACTACTAATGAAATATTATCAAATTCTTTATAGGAAAAAGAAAAAAAAATTATTTATGTTTTGGTTAAATAAAATTATTAATAAAAGTTATTGTGTTAGTTATTATTACTATAATAATGAAACATTATCAAATTCTGTATAGGAAAAAGAAATAAGAAAAAAAAAAGTAGCTCAAAAGCCTAGTGTAACATTTATGTAAGATCGGTAAATTTTTAAAATTAATTTTCTCGTGTTTCAATACACTCTTTGAATAAGATAATGTAATAAAAAATAAATAATTTTGAAAAAATAGTTACAGACTTTGCAGGGTTAATTTACTATCTGCAGCAGATTGTTAATTATCAGTAATGTAGCTCTAAGTTAGGGGTCTCCAAACGTTTTGTCCCATGAGCGACATTGAGACCTTGATTCAGTTCTGCGGCCGCATTGAGACCTCCACTCAAGTCCTGTGGGCTATGGCTTTTGATGAAAAACAAAAATCTTGTTATATAAATGACACTTCAGCTGTGAAATAAGCTTTCTTTTTTAATTGCTTGAATGGCTTCTTTCCGTAATGTCCTATCTAAGGTCCATTCTTCCCATAGATCACGACCTATCATGGATTCCTGCACTTCGTTATCCCAGATCTTCCTCGTCTTCTTCTTTCCCTAGTTTTCCATAAGTGGATTTCTTTGGGTAGTCTTCCTTCAGGCATTTTTTTTCAAATGCCCATACCACTTCAGGCGTTTTATCTCAATCTCTTCCAGAATGGTTCTTTTAGCCTCCATCTTTTCTTTGATGGTCGTATTTTTAAATAAGCTTTCTAAGAGAAAAAAAACATGCAATGAATATTGTCGTAGCCTCCTGTGTAAGTAATTTGCTAAATTTCATATTTTTAAATAGTTTTTAAAATTTTTCCATCTATTCAAAGAAGCTTTCGCGGGCCAGATTGAAGGTGCTTGCGGGCCTCAGTTTAGAGATCCCTGCTCTAAATGACTGATGATCATGTATGTGGTGTATTAATGTTATACTGTTGTTAATCTTGCAATTAAAAATTCATCTCTGACTTAAGATCTCCAAAATTTTCTTTTTCTGATCATCTCTATTCAAAGTTTTCAATCTCTAGTCTGCTAATTTATGATCGTATAGGTGTCTCTGTCCATTTTTCAGAGTGGACGATATTCCTCAAGGAACTTCTGAAAATTTGGAGTTGATATGGGAAAAAACGTAAATTAAAAAAAAACTACTCGTTTTATAAGAATTTATAAACTCACCCCAGGAGCATTAGAACATACATTTTCAAAAGGGATTAAATGCACACGTTATTACAAAAAAGGCAGATATAAAACATAAATACAGCAATATATCCTTTAGTTTTGAATAAAAACAATTTTATTCTTACGATTCTATTTTTTAATAATAAATCCTTCTACAGACTTCCCTCGCCTAGAATATTTGTTTGTTGAAATTTCTTCTCTTATATTATATGCCATAGTCCATCGACACATTCATCCTCATATTCGATTCGACAATCTTTTTGAATCCTCCCTTGTTAATCTGGTTTCCATTTACTCCAATGTCATCATCACTGGGGATGTTAATGTGAATATATATTTAAAAATGCCTGCGAAAATTTATGTTATCGACCTGTTGTTTTCCTTGAATCTTAATTTTGTTCCCTATTTAATGTAACACCGAACAATCTTTGTCTCATTGAATCTTAAAGTTTGTTCTTAGGGACTTTTTTTGATTTGACAAATAATAGAACGAAATGCTTTTGATGAGCTTTATTTTATGCATATACATGTATGTGCATGTCGTGTAAATAGGCTTTGCTCTTTATTTTTAAAGGGCACGATTTTACCTTTTTTGATAATGTAAATATTACCGAGATCAACCTTGTTAATATTTATGTATTTTGATTGATCATATTGTGATTAAATATTATTACGAGCCTGAGATCTTGATATTTTTCTTGACATATCAATCGTGCATAAGAAGTACCGAAAGCCTCTTTTGTATTGCCCTTGGCTTTCGTAAAACGTTTTGGAGTTTTTGTCTTATTGTTTTGAAAGGATAAGAATGTGAAGGGGGGAGGGAGAGTCCTAAATTGTATGCTAGCTATTTAGAGCCCGATTTAAAGGGTGTTTCATAGGGAAAACCACTCCTCTCCCTCGTTTCCACTTCTCACCCTCAACTAAAATCCTTTTCTTTAACCTTCAGCAGCAACTGATGAAAACAATTTTTGAGAAAAATTCTGGTATAATGAATCAAAATAAATTACACTTGAAAAAAAAAAAAAAAAACAGTTCTCCATCCAGTGTGCTTGTTGAAAATTACCTAAGACCTTAATTTCGCCATAGACAGACAGAAAATCTCTATCCTGGTCCACTTTGATTTTTCAAATGCATTCGATTCAGTTAATCATGAAATCCTCCTTCTCAAACTCCAAAATCTTTCCATATCCAATAGTGCTCTAAAGTGGTTCCATTCCTTTTTGTATCAAAGATCCCAAACAGTCATCATACCTAATTAAACTCCTTTCTGCCCCCTCTTACTAAGTCGTGGTGTTCCTCAGGGATCTTTGCTCTCTCAAATATTTTCTCTATCTACATCAGCGACCTTCCTGATTCCATCCATCATTCACAATATCACTTATATGCTTAGGATCGCCAAATCTACCTTTCCTTCCATCCTACCGAGATGGATGGAATGCTACGCCGAGATGGATACGATGCTTCAAAAAGACATTGATAGTATCAGTGCCTGGGCAGTGAGCAACAATTTAAAGTTGAATGTTGAGAAGACCAAAGACATTCTCATTGGTTCCAAGCATCTGATTAATTCCTTTCCTTATTATCCCCTACTCTGCCTCAATGTTCTACCTATCCATTTCCACACTTCTGTTAGAAACCTTGGGGTAATGTTTGATCAATATTTGTCCTGGAATAATCATATTTCTCAAATTTTCCGAAAATCCATTGTTAACCTTAAACAGTTTCTAAGATTCTGTGATTTGTTGAGCCTAAAAATCTGTCAGCTCCTAGTTTCCTCTCTCATTTTCCTTAATTTTGATTATGTCTGCCTTTTATACAGTGGACTATCTGGTGGGTTAGAGATCAGATTTAAGAGCCTTATTATTGTTTTATTAGATTTATTTTTGAAGTCCCCAGGTACTCCCACATCTCCAGTTGCTGTGCCGAGTTGAAGTGGCTCTATCCAGTCTTCTAACAGCAATATTTCCTTGGTGTATTTCTTTTTTGAACCTTTTCAACCAAAAAATCCTCTTACTTTCTTGATTTGTTTACTCCTTGTTCCTCTGTCCATTCATTGAACATGAGATCCCAGCCCTCAAACCTGTTTATTCCTTCTGATAGAACTGTTTCCTTTAAAAAATCCTTTGTCATACGTGCTACCTTGTTTCGGAATTCCTTACCAACCTCCATACGCAAACCCTCATCCTTGACCTCATTTATTTTTCCATCTCCTCAGCAATCAATCTTCAGAATATGTGTAAAATAATATTTACGTTTTTCAAAGTTGGCAGTCGCAATGTTATCTTACAGATAATTATATAGCATCCAGATTGTTTATGAGTACAAATATGTAAACTCGCACATCTGGATTTATCTAAAATTTCATATCTACTAGTGCCTTTTCTTTATTTTAATTTTAGATTTAGATAACTTTGTAATTTAATTTATTCTTAATTGTTTTTAATGCCATACAATTATCATTTCATTGTTCATTGTAGTTACTTTTAGGAGACTTACTATCCCAGAATAAAATTTGCTTTTCTTCTTCTTATTTATTAGTCCAGTCAATGAATAGACTAAAGAGTGTAGAGTGCGTGAGCAGGGACCGAAGCAATTTGTTTACAAATTGTTTAGGGTGTGAACATTTCAAAATTCTTGATATCTAAGGGCTGAGCCAAGTGGGGAGGAAACGTCACAATTTTTAGGTTTGCTCTTATATCTCGAAAACAGTACATCGCAAGGGAAAATTGACTAATAATAAATGAAATAAAATAAAATTATATTAAACTTTTATTCCATAGGTTTTTTTTTTTTCTTCAAATTTTCAACCATTTTCGAGCTACATGCTTGACTTTTTCGCCTTTCTCACAGTTTTATCAATTTTCTCGGTTTTCACCATTTTATAATCAATCCATGCCATAGAAAGGTTTTGCTATTTTTTTTTAAACTTGTGCAGCAATGAACTAATCTATTACTAAGAGTTCTTTACAATCCTGAGCTCTTTTTTTGCACCCTAGCTGTTCTATGGGTATTATATTCTTGGCACTCTCCAATTTTTCTTGTTTCTATCCGCTTCTGAAACTTCTTTCACTGTTATTATCATTTCAGTCGTTTCAGAGGCATTTTTTTCTTTGTTATTTCTTCTTGTATTCAAGAGTGCTCAAGGCTTGCAATTTTTTATTATTATTATTAAATCTGAAAATATTACTATTATAAAATATTACTAGTTTTCTCTTTTGTTTTTTCACTATACTGTGGAGAAAAAATGTAATTGGGTGGTAATGAAACCTTTTGAAAGTAATCTCTTCAATTGACATATAATTTAAAACTCCCAACACCCTTCAAGTTTCAAATATTTAATTTATTCAGTTTGTTATATTTTTTTCTCTATGGATTGCTATTGTTCAATAATTAAATGTATAAAGTCTTCACTTAAAACTAATTTTTATGTTCAGATTATTAAAACTAATTTGTATATTCAGATTATTTTCTAATGAGATAATGAACAAAATTAATTTACTATAATTATTCCAGATATCCTGTTTTATTCTATAATTATTTTTCCATTTGTGTTTTACAGGTGCTGGGTACCATATCACAATATCTTACCAAAATCCAGAAAAATGCCAATCCATAATTCAAACTGTTAATTCCAATATATCTGAGGCTGTTATTATCAATCAATCTGTAGAATGGATTAAATTTGGTATTCCTTTTTCAAGAGTTACAGAATTTCCAGTTTTATTCAAACTGTTGGAATCTCGTGAAGATTTGGAAATTTCTAGAGTTGGAATTAATTGCACAACAATGGAAGATGTTTTTATCAAGTAATTTAATGTGAACATATAAACATTAATATTAATTAGATATTATTAATTAATATTATTCTGTAAACACTTTACATAGATATAGAAACTAATAATTGGAATTTGTTATCTTTCTTTTTATGTATTTCTAAATTTATTTGAGAAGGAGTTAGTCGGGGGTCCGGTCAGATAAATACTAAATTAAAATATAGTAATTATTTTATTTTAATTTTGCCGACGTTTCGACCCACTTTGCAGGTCGTCCTCAGGGCGTAGGATGGAGCACTGCGGGAGGCAGTTGAAACACTGGCAGTCAAATTTGTATTTATCTGACCGCACCCCTGACTAACTCCTTCTCATATTATATCAACGGTCAACCATCTCTACATCATTCTAAATTTATTATTAATAAAGTATTTAACGGTAGTAACTAATCTAGGAGCTGGTGGTCAGGTTGAGAAGATGGAGCAATTAAAATATAACTTAACTCACAAGTGGTGGTCTCAGTCAGTGGGTCACCAATTTTAACCAAATGTTTTCCCTGATATTACATCAAAAAATATTAGACACTTTTCCCGGATTTTGTTTCAATGGCTTCTAAAAGCTGAAAACAAAAATTGATATAATTTCAAACAAACTTTATGTTATTTATTTTTGTTTTTGCTTTTTTCGCATTTTTAGGTTATTATATACCAATTGATTTCTTTTTTTTTTTTTTTGTAGAATAAGAAAAAAATACTGACTTTCGGATTTCATTCCTTTTTAAGCCAGACATTAAGAAAAATTTCTATATTTATAGTCCTAAATTACTAATAATTTTTGTGTGAATCAGTGAAGTCATTCTGAAGTTATCAAAATTTTTGTGGTTGTTGACGAAATTTCGAAGGGTCCAGCCTATGAAAATATACTCATTAGCAAATGAAGTGATTCATTAGAAATAAGATGGAAAAACACTTAATATTTATTCACAATATTTCTCACTTCTTCTTTCGTGCATACTATTTATTTTCAAGTTAATTTATTATTAGCCATATTTACACCAATTTTTTAAAAAATTTGTCACTTAATGACTACTCATCTCAATGACGACGTTTCGGCTCGTCGAGCCATTTTCAAGTCTAAAATACCCATCATGTACCTGTCATTTTCACTTATGCGAATTGCAAGCTTCTCCTCATAATAAAATTCCTTATTATTGTCATGTTCACCTTGTTTCTGAGTCACCCACATGTCATCCATCTCATTTCTATTCAGTGAGTCACTGAAATGACAGGTACATGATGGGTATTTTAGACTTGAAAATGGCTCCACGAGCCGAAACGTTGTCATTGTGATGAGTAGTCATTAAGTGACAAATTTTTTTAAAAATTGGTGTAAATATGACTAATAATAAATTAACTTGAAAACTTAATATTTATTTAATTAATTTAATTTTAAAAAGGTAATTTACTTTTACATGTTTAGAAGTAATAAATCATGGAAATTTGTTAAAAGAAAACTGTTTACATTGGTTTTTTGAGGTTTAAAATTTAAATGGTAAATTTAAAATTTTGAGAAACCTTAATTTTTTTGTTTTAATACTTTCTTGATCCACCTCGAGCATTAATTACTGCCTGAAGACGAGTAGGCATACTTCTTATTAGCATTTTAATGCTATTTTGAATTATTTTTTTCCATTCCTCTAAAAGTGCTGTGTGCAGTTCATCCGTCTTTGAAGTTGCTCCCATAAAATGTTCAATGGTGTGTAGGTCTGGAGAACAAGCAGGCCAATTCAGAGGGTGAATTTCTTGATTTTGAAAGAGTGCATTTACGAATCTAGCTCTATGAGGTCTAACCTTGTCATCCACTAAAATTAATTCTGGGCCAATTGCTTCTGCCATATGTTCCACTCCACTATTGGTGCTAATACCCTGTCCAAGTAATGCTGAGCAGTCATAGTCTCATTTCCTAACACCACATGCTCTGTTTGAGAGCCTGAGGAGAATCCACCCCACAGCGTAATTGATCCTCCTCCAAACTAGTAAATAGGCAAAATCAGGGAAGGATGATCAGTCAAAAGAAAATAGTAAAAATAAATAATTTTATATTTACAGAACATTCCAACCATCCTTCTCTTCAACTATTTTAATTTTTGCATTCCTTTTTTTGTTTTATTTTGGAAAATATCAAACTATATATCCTAGGAGAGTGAAATTGGATGTAACTGAAAATTAATATTTATTTAATAAATAAGAGTATTCATTTATAACGTTTTGTGAAAATATTTCCATTCATTTTATTTAATAATAAATTTAAGCGTATTCATTCTAATAAACGTGAATACAGCCGAATTCACTTTTATAAGTGTAAATACAATCATGAATACGGCTGTATTTATATTTACAGCTATGAATACATACCATCTGTATTCATATTTCTTTTTATGAATATAAATATATTATATTCATAAGTGCCATAAATATATTGCTGTCCATCGCTGAAGATTTAGATTTAGATTGAGCACTGAATTTAGAAATGTACTCTTTTTGTTACTAAGTAATGTTAATTTCTGGAATTCTAATTGTTGTTAACATTATGGTTTAATGATATTCCTTATTTTTACTATGTTCCTTTATATTTTTTATGTTAAACAAAACTCTACAAATACTTTTGTATTTTTGTACTATGTATTATTGTTAGTAAATGGTTTTAAGATCTTTTTTTGATCTAAAAATTGTTTTTTACCGTTGCACCTCAATATATCTTTAAATATTAATTTTTGGAGCAATCAAAAAATTAAAATTTTGTTGACAACTACAAAAATTGTGATAACCTCAGGACGATTTACATGAAAATTATTAGAGATTTAGGGATCTAGATGCTACATGAAATGATGCAAAACCAACCTCCATTAACAAATTAGAACCAAAGATATAAAATTAAATAGTTTGAGAAGTTTTTCTTAATTTCTGTCTTAAAAAAATTATTGATGCGGGTTGGATGAGCAGTAATTCAGATTTCCATTTTGGAAAAAATCCTGAGAAGTTATAAATGCTTTATTAATAGCCAAAAAAAAAAGCATTCTAAAAGAAAATTAAGTACTAAAATTTGCAATTTTTTATTTCTATAAAAAATCGTAATTAAGAGATTTTAAGGGCACTAAAAACGAATCTAACTTGCTTTTTCATAACATAAATTTACTTGGCCTACTTTGGTCTTTTGTTTATCTTAATTTATGATACATTATAACTCAATTAATACATTTGCTAATATTTCTCTCTTATTCTGCACAAAAAAAGAAATGGTATATTATAATTTAAAAATCTGGGCCAAGCAAAGGAAAAATGAATACCATAAATTGTGTTTGTAGTTATATAAAAAAAAAATATTGACTCCTATAACCCATGGGAACAAATGTCAGGACATTTGTCAAGATGTATCAACAAAGTTGAAATTTGTGAGCCATTGACTGTGACCTTGTCAATAGTATTTCATGTATGTGTTTCTTTCTTTTTTTATTAGGGTAATTCTTTTTCAACAAATATTGTTTTGCAGAGTTCAGGATGAGGCAGGGGATGCCAGGTCAATATCTCAGGGAATGATGAATGACAATGATGAAAGAAGTAAGTTTTTTTTTTAGGTTGTTACTTTTATGAACTTTAATAAAACTGTTAGCATATTTCTCCAAATACATGAGTAACATGTTTCTGTTTTATATATTTTTAAAAATTTCAATTTAAAAAATAATCTTAATTCATAGAAAATAGAATGAAATAGGATAAGAAGGTATCATGAATAGAACAATGAATTGTTGCTTATTGCCATAGAATTCTTATGTCAATAGAGATGAAGGGCACTTTAGTGTTCTTAATAATATATTATAGTTCTTTATAAGTTATTATGCTAGAGTGTAACATATTAAATTTACATAATTCTTAACTAGTCTCTAAATCATTTATTTTATAATACAATAACATCAGTGTATTAAATAAAAATAAGTATTGTTGATTGAATCCCATAATACTGTTTCTTTTGAAAATGTTTCAAACTAATTAAAAATAATAATTTCAAAATAATAATTAATAGAGAAAAAAAATGTATCAAACCACCGAATTCACAGTCTTTAGATCTTTTTTTAAAATTTTATAATAACATGTCATGCTTATATGTTATAGCTATTGTGTTTTGTTTTTTTTTGTTTTATTCAATGTCTTCTATTTTTAGCTGACTCAAATATTGGTAATATTTATATGCTGTATGTTGAACGATTTTTGGGGCTCGTTTATAAAAATATGAATCGCACACTGAAGAGATGGTTCCCAAATCTATTAATTGTGAGTGCTTAAATTTACTTAAAAGCTAAATACTTATATTTGTACTATTTTTTTTTCTGTATTTGAAGTATAGTGTCTGTTTATTGCGATATTAAAATTTTTCAATTGCTATTTTAATTTTTTAACAAATTGAAATTTAAGTATAGAAAAAGTAATTTAAATTACATCTTCTAAATATAATTTTTATTTCTGATTGATTATATGAATTCAGTTTTTTTTTTTATTTATATATGAGTATTAGATTTTTAAAATTAAAATTGCAGTAGGCCAACAAATGTTTAGAGATAGATAAGTAGTAGACTGTTGAATTTTACATATGAAACAAAACTGTCAAGAAATTCAGTCAAAATTTCTTTAATAAGTTAGCCAACATTTCAACCCAAACATGTGGGTCATCATCAGGGCTAAAATTACAAAATATAAAATAACATCAAAGAAATAATAAACATAAAACGGTAAGAGGAATTAACAGTGAAGAATAACAGTAACAAGATAATAGCAATAAAAATAAATAAATAAGATAATTGTAATAATAGTAAAGAATAAAATTATAAAAATGATAAATGTAAAAGTATAAGGAAAGAAAAATGCATATATTTATGTATGTTTCATCCTTTTCTTCCCTTATACTTTTATATTTATCATTTTTCTAATTTTATTCTTTACAATTATTACTATTATCTTACTTATTTATTTTTATGTTCACTTGCCTATATATGTAATATATAGTAAGGGTAGGTATTGCGGTTGTGAAAAATTTCAAATCTGAGTATTCAACAGAAATACATGTTTTGAGATTCCCTGAGTCCAAATAACCAAGTCTCACAAAATTGTCGCTGTGTGTCCTTTTTTTTTTCTGGCTAGGAGAAAAATCTTTCATAAGATAAATTGCAGCCAGTAAAAGGTCAAACAACAGTTTGAGATTCCTACTCACTTAAAAAACCACCTCCCAACTCTTCTTTACCACCCTGCGGAACTGCTGTTAAGCATTAGTTCGCAGAGGGCAGAAGGGCTATATGCCTACTTCTTCTTTGGACGTCTTATTCCATTGCCATTGCCAGGCCCCTCCTTGCTTGCTCCTTTGCTCTGAGCCTTCTGCTAATTTGCGCTGCATAGTCTACTCGAATTCTGCTGCACTCGAATTCTCCTGCCTAGACATCATCAAATCAACTAAGTTTTCTGGAGATGATTTTGTTCTGAATTTCTTGTCTACCTCTTCCTTTTCTCGAGCAAAACCTGAAACAACAAAAGAACGAATGTTCCAATGTTTTATCCACGGGACCACAAGTTGGGCACGATGATTTATTCTATATTTTGAAACAGGCTAAGTAGGTCCTGAAGCAACCATGCCCTATAATAAGCAGTTGAGTGAGGTAATAATCTACCTCCCCAAGATAATAATAATAAAAATCTGGTGCAGTGCACACATCGCACAACTTTCACTTACCAACCTTAGAGTAGATAGGTATTTTCTTATAGGAAGTCGAAATGAAAACTACGGTATAACTTCATTTAAAACAATTTTTTAATTTATTGATTAATATAACAACCTGTCACTTAGACATTGGTTATAGGGAGGTGAGATAACATTCACACAATATGTACAAAAAATGAACAGTAGCAAATTAAATAAACAATAATCCTAAAGTACATACAACGAATAGAATAAACTAAATTAAAGATAAGTAAATTAAAGAAGAAAAAAATACATACATACCTATATACACTATTTACAATCAGGTGAGGGAACTCTGAGGCATGCTTGTCCCTCCAACTGGTCTCCAGGAGGTCCCTGTGTTAATCTCTCAACCGCTTCACTGGTACTAAGCCAGTGGAGATTGATGGAGAGCGCTATTTATTTAAATAATTAATTTCCATGTTTTTCATGTCCATCAAATCAGATAAATTTATACATTTGCATCACTTTCCATTTCTTTTTGCTACTGTGTATAGTATCGAACAATAATAATGATTGTGGATAAAATGGGTGTTTTGGAAAAAAAAATTTAGTTTTATCAGAAACATATTGTAATATTCTCGTTAAGCGTTATGGCCTTATAGCCCCACGTTGTAATGTTCTTGTTCCCTCCAAAAGTAAACAATCAGTTTCTTTTCAATATAAAATTTATTTCTCACACATATATAAATTCCCAGGTTGGGTTTAGACAACTAACACACATCCTTAATTATACAATAAAAAGGCATACATAATTTTATAACACTTATTAATAAATTTCCATTCTATTTGTTGGGGTCTATTCTTGGCACGCGTTCGATCTGTCCATTTATATATTCTTCACTCACCCTGTGGTGCAGCTACTTCTCTTCTATAACCTTCTACTGTTGACACTCACTACTTGGGGACCAACATCTTCTCACAGATCCTGGTTTCTAGCCTTCTGGCTACCTTCTGCCATACCTATGTCCTCTTCACTCGCTGGCCGGTCACCTTCTGCCTTTAACCTATCTATCAGTCTTGCTTCCCCCACCATCTATACTTCCTGTCAGTTGTTCGTGATGTTACCACCTTCGCACCAATATTCAAAAACACTATGTAATGTTGACATTTACAATATATCGAATATTATATCGGAAAAAAAACTTAACATAAGTAAATATTGCATATTATTGCATAGTTTTATTAGTAAATCTTCAACATTTCGCTTGAAAACCTTTTTAAAAAATTATGGATAAGTGATACATAACAGTTAAACTAAGAATATGAAAGTCCTGTTCAGAGGGGTATGGGGTATCTGTAAAGGGAGAGGATTGACAAAGGTCCGGCTCTCTCGGCTAAATAGCCGAGCTTCCTACATAGCTTATACCATATAGCATCCTAGGCTTATTTCCCCTTTAGTTACTAATCATTTTCTACGTTCACTGTATTTAACCAATTTTTAAATCAGGTTCAAATGTGAAATGGTTAATTATTTCAAATAAAAAAAGTAAAGGTACTTTAGAGGAAGAAATTTTGAAAATTGGCATTTAAGCACTGTTAGGTTGCATCAATGAGGATAAAACCCATCTTAAATTAAAAGCCACTTAATAATACTGGTACTGGTGGGGAGGACAAAGTCCAGCAAGTGGGCCTATTGGTCCTTTTAGCCAACCCCAAAGGTAATGATACCGATAGTAGTATATTATACCTCCAACTCTTTCTCAAATCTTTTTATTCTTCTTATGAAGTTCAAAAGGCTGGGAAATTTTATGGAGGTAGCTTCATGTTCTTGTATTCTGTCTGTATCTGAGCGATGCAAATCGCCCACATTTTTTTATATAGTGAAGGGCAGTTTCCGGTAACACCCAACAACCCTTCTCAATACTCTCTATCCTATTATAAATGTTGAATATAAGATAATTTTTTTCTAAAAGTGAACTAGTGAATTATTTTTTATTAATTAGTTGCTTAAAGCAGTCTCTATAAAGTGAGAACTCTTAATTAAATAATTAATTAAGTGTGAAAATCTGGTGGTTGAGCATGAATTTGAACTAATCACCTCCCTGCACAACTGTTGGCCTTGTAACAGTACTTCCTCACATTGTACTGAACCCAAAACCCTTCGTAGGTTGTAGTGGTACAAGTTTTTTTTTTTAATTAGTTGCATAACTAGTGAATACATGGCATAGGGAGGTGGCGGCCCCATCGCCTGGTAAATATACCGCAATCAGCCACTGGTCCTCCAGGCTGGGTGAACACTTACACTGACACTCACGTAGTACACTGAACATCAAGATCATTCACAGTACACACCTTAGGGTTATTTTCCCTAGGTAGCCACCCCGACGGGAGAGCAAGTCAGGATGCTCTGAGGAGGCAGCCCCTTCACCTGACTCGGGAACAGTGGACAACAACCCGCTTCCATTATATCTTATCATGTTACGAATCTATTAAAACATCTTGGCTCTGGTTCTTGTAGGACCGTTGCGCCAAATAATAATAATACTAGTGAATAAATAAATCTGAATTAGTGAGTTGTTCGAGAAGTGAAGTATCTTTTAATAAAGTTTAATTAAGGTTTCTTAATATCTGATTTATAAATGAATGGAATTAGTAGAATTAAAAGTAGTAGTAATTCCGCTTTCTAACGGTTGTACTATCATTGAATTTGGGGAAAATCCTCAAAGGTTATGAATGCTTTAGTAATTGGCAAGAAAAAAAATCCTCGAAGAAAATCAAGTATTAAATTTCGCAATTTTTGATTTATATAAAAATTCGTATTTAAGAGTTTCAAAGGATACTAAAAATAAATCTAAATTGTTTATTTCATAAAAAAAAATTATTTTGTCTACTTTACTGGAAGCACCTTTCGATTTTTGTAATTTATGATATGTTATAATTCCTTTAATTCAATAGTCAATATTTTTTTCTTATTTTGAACACAAAATGAAATCAATTGATTTATAATAACCTAAAAATCCGGGCAAAGCAAAGGGAAAAATAAATGACATAAATTTTATTTGAAATTATTTTTCTCGATTCCTACAGCCCATTGGAACAAACGCTGGGACATGTTACACTTCGATTTTTTTGTGTATTTTTTTATTTTAAATGATTAGTTTTTATTAAATGTTAAATATTTTTATTTCATGAATAGGAAAAAGATCCCAATTAAGAAAAATAATGTTTAAATGTACATATTCTATAGATATTAGGTTGTTTATAAAGTAATAGTATCTGTTTAAAGACTAATAGAAGCTTATCAGCCAACCTTTAGTCCGAGGCCGTCGGACAAGACTCCCGTATAAAGAATCAAGCACAGAGAGCCTAAGGAGACTGTTGTGAGCCAAACACAGTTAATCAGGTACTTGTGAGTTGGCCGGTCGCCATGGACTGCTATCCGCCATTGTTTATAACCTGAACATTGATAATTCTGATACTGATAATGTCTACCCTCTTATTTATATTTATGGCAATTGAAATAGATAAAAAGAAATGTATTAATAACAAAAACTTATATTTTACAACATTTTATTTATTTTGGGAGACAAAATAGCTTAATGCTAATTAAAATAGGGAGGAACAGGCCCTGTTCTATGTGGGCTCACCGCCATAAAAACTTAAATAAATATGAATCCATGTGTTGGCTCACAGTTTTTTTATTTTTCCACTTAGCTGAGCCCCATAATCATTCTATGTGTTGAGTATGGATCCCACTTAAAGGATCAACAAAGTTGTACCGGTGATACACCTGAAAATGGTTGTGGTTTGTTTCATTTAGTTGTTGGGTGTTGTATCCTTTCCAGCAGTTAGAATATATAGTGGTTCTCTCTTCTATATTATTTTTAATACAGTTTTTGCTTTTCTGTCTTTTATTTTTACAATGAAACACTCGGCTGTTTCTCGACAAACTCTCCCAAACATACATTGTTCATGGAGCACTCTCCCTACATGATTTTTTCTTTTAGAAAAAAAACTTTCCTCTATTTCAACCACTTTTCCAGGCCCTCCAATTTGTATTAGTTGATCTGTATAGAATGCACAAGTAACTAAGCAGAGATGAATGATAAGAAGAGGTTACACGAGATCAGAAGATAGGTTCTGTGGCAACTGGCTAAGTAACAAGTACCATTAAAGTTCTCTGCTGGATTTTATTTTTCCTTAATTTTATAGTATCGGATCGAGAGGAACAGATACAACACCCGGAAGGAGACTTGCTTTTGAGGACATCACTGAAAATTTGGCTCAGTCTAAGAGCTCCTCAAGTTAAGAAAAAAGGCTGTATTTCGACATATGGGGTCCCAGTATAAATAATCGATAAGTCAGAATAGTTTATTTAGTTTTTCTTAAATTTGTATTACTATTATTATCATTTTTGTATAGAACAATCATTTTAGAAAACGACGTGGCCCCCAACTTTTATAGATTTTATATTTTTCTTTTCTTTAATAAATATTATTTCAATTTTAATTTTTTTTTCTTCATGACCCACCTCCTTCTTCACTGAGCTGGAGGCAAACTTAAAGGTTACTGCAGATAGAGGTATTAGTCTGTCCAATATTTTTTGATGTAGTGTAACCGAAAAAAAATTGGTTGAAATCGATGAACTACTGGAAGGAGGCGTAGCTCCGATGGTAGAGCGCTCGCTTAGCATGCGAGAGGTATCGGGATCGATGCCTGGCGCCTCCATTGTTTTGTACTCTCTTCGGCGGTACATATACTAAAATTGGAATGATACAGAGAAGATTAGCAGGGCCCCTGGGCAAGGATAACACCCAAAATCGTGAAGAGTTCCACATTTTTTGCCCTTGCTCAAGGGAATTCGCCTTGGGTTAACCGGGAGGCAAAGAAAAAAGTAAACTTTCTACTACTTCTACAGGATCATTTCTGTAGTTCGTTGATCTTCACCTGGGCGGTAATTGTCGGGTAACTCAAGGCTATAGCCTCCCCTTGTTAGTGACTTTTTGCCATAAGCTGATGTACATATTTGCAACAATGCTCCACTGCATGATTGTCAGTGAACTTTAAAAAATTTACGTGATCTGAAAATTTAAGTTTAATATTCTTCAGAATTGTTTGCAACTGACTACCATTCTTCAGAGCACTTTATGCATTTAAAAAAATCAAAATATTCCAAAATGAATACGAGGTTAATGTTTTTTTCTCGAATTTATTGATTCAAAGCCAAAATGTTGCTTCATACAAGTTATTAAACATCTTGTTGGGCTTTGAGTGGATTTTATTCAAACTAATGGAAACTAATGTATTTTGAAAAAAAACATGTAATTTTTCTTTTGTCTTGTACCCTAAATCTATCTTTGAATCATGTGTTCCAAAACAGTAAAACTATTACAGCTAAAAAAAAAGTATACCTGGATTCATTTAATTTTGGAAATCATACTATTGTTTGTGAATACTACTTTTCTATTGGTGTTCATTTTCATTTGGTCTTGATTATATTAGTTTATGTTAACATCATTAATTTATTTTATTTTTTGTTTATTATAGCTTGTTTTCGTTCCTGTTCTAATTGCTTATTTTGCAATGGATCCACTTGATAAGTTTGTCCTAGGAAAAAATGATACTACAAATTTAACCCTAGCATTAAATATTTATGGGCCAACTGAAGTCCTTATATATGGAAGAAATAATACCAGAATGAAAAATGCTTTTTTATCCGTTGTAGAAAAAGAAGGAAGCTCCAGTGTAGATGTTACTGGTCAAAATAAAAACAATTCTATATTGCAAGGTTAGTTCTCTGTTGAATGTTTTCTTATTAAATTGTCAATTATTTACTTATTTATTTTTTACTAATTTATTTGTATTTGTGTGTTTGTGTATGTGCCTGTGCAGGTGTTCATGTGCATGTGTGCATGTTTTACATATATCCTTTTTGTTGGTGTTAGACAACTAGTCCAGTCAATGAATGATAATAGAAGGAAATGGTGACGACTCAAATTTTAACTTAGGGACATTGTTTGGACTAGTAAGGAGGTAAGAATATTAAAAGTCGCCACTCCTAGGTGGTGAGCCAGATGGGAGGGAGGGCTTGAAGGTCACTTTTTTCGGGTTTTGGCTTATATCAGGAAAAGTATCCATTGCATCGACAAAGACGTTCTACTCAAAATTAAAGCTGATAAAATTTGTAATATGATTGATTATGTACCTTTTTCACTATATCGCTTAGTTTCCGATATATCCGTCCTCAACTATGGCTAATTTTGAAAAAAAATGTTGTCATGTGTTTATTGCTGTTTTTCGAGTTTTCGCTGATATCAAGAAATCTATTCATTGCATCGGCAAATATGTTTTGTAAAAAATTTAAGCTGATAAAATTTACTATATGATTGACTATATACGTTTTTTTGCTATCTCGCTTATTTTATGAGATATCCATCCTCAGCTATCGCTAATGTGGAAAAACAAAATTCAGTCATTCAATATGTCGATTCAGAGACATATAAAGTTATAACTGATATAACTTTTGACCTGTTGAAGATAAACTAGTAAAGTAATATATATTCTTGAAGAAAATTTAATTATTAAAAACTTTCTTCCCCATGGCATAAAAGTAAAGCAAAGCAATCAAGTTAGCTAGTAAATACAGTAAAAAACATGAGGTAAAACAATTTTTTTTTCACATTAGCAATAGCTGAGGATGGATATCTCGGAAACTAAGCCAACTACCAAAAAAGGTATATAATCAATCATATAGAAAATTTTATCAGCTTTAATTTTGTATGGAACATCTTTGTCGATGCGATGGATAGTTTTCCTGATATAAGCAAAAACTATAAAGCAGCAATAAACACGTGGCAAAATATTTTTTCAAAATTAGTCATAGTTGAGGACAAATATCTCAGAAACTAAGCAAGATAGCAAAAAAAGGTAAATAATCTATCATGTTGCAAATTTTATCAGCTTTAATTTTGTATAGAACGTCTTTGTCTATTCGATGGATAGTTATCCTGATATAAGCAAAACCCCCCCAAAAAATGACCTACTAGGTGCCCCTCCACATCTGACAACACCTAGGAGTGAGGACTTTTAGTATGCTTACCTCCTTGCTTGTACAAACAATGCCCCGAAGTCAAAAATTGTGTTGCCACCATTTCCTTCTATATCCCCTTTTCAAGCATTCATTGACTGGACTAAACTAGAAATATCTAAAACACAAAACAAAAAAGAGCATCAGAACAAAATGTACAATTTATAAAATTTCCTGCAGTATTTCTCACTTCTCTCTTCAGTTATACTTTCACAAAAGCTTTAATTATAACGCTGGACTTGAATAGTTGTAAAACTCTTCCACAAAATTTTAAGAAATATGAACTTAATGTTTAGGAAATTTTGTATTTACTTAGTGAATTTCTTGATAATGCATTGATATGTTTTAAATAGAGGTTACATACGTGTTTTTAATTTAGATGATATATTTATGCACAAAAAAATTATAATTGCTTCTCAGATGCCTCGAACATAAACCAAACCAAAACATTGTATTAAATGGTAGATGCAATGCACCTTTTATTTATACTTCCAGGTTTGATCTTTGTTTTTATCCTTTTTAAATATGGTGATTGGAATAATGATGTTCTAGCCAATTTTATGGTCTATTCATATGGAAATTTAATTAAAAAGTTTTGGAGTTCTAAAAATTGGCTCTCATGTTTTGGGATGCTAATTACAAAATTAAACTTTTTCGTCAGAGATTTTTTCTGAAATTGTGCTCACTTATGTTTTTTAGGTTGCTGATTATAAATTTCAATTTTTCTTTCTAGAATATTGTCTGGAAGCAAAAAAAAAATCTTTTCTCCCATTTTTCTCATAGTATCGTATTATATTACTTTGTACAAATAATCACACTATTAGTTATCTACTAAATTGAATAAGAGTTATTTGGACTACCCAGGTAGGTGTAATGAATTTACAAGTTTTAAGAAACTAATATGCAATAATTTGTTTCCAATAAAAAAAAAAAATTGGTTCAAAATTAAATTGTTTGAAGTGTTATTTTATGATATAGGCGTTCCAGGGTTGACTTTTCACCTCAGGGCTGAGCTCTAGAGGTCGGGGTGAAACCAATCAACTTGTTTTCTGGGTTGTCCTCGTCTCCATGTTCCCGGCGGTTACCAATTTAGAATTCGGTTAGGCCATCGCTCGGTAGACATTCGTCTTATATGGCCGTATCACATCAGCCTTCACCGTCAACTGTTGAAATATTTAAAATTACAGATATCTTCATTACCAATTTCCAGCCATCGCTATTTACTAGTAAATATTAAATTAATTCAAATTTATTAGAAATTATAAAAACTGAATATTGTTATAAAGTAAATATTTGTCATATTAAAACAATTCAGATTCATTTCATTTTCCTTTAAAACTCTTATTTTATATTTTTAGTATCCTTAAATACAAATTTGTATTTAAATTTAAATTTTTGTACTTAATTTTATTATTTTTTTTTTTTCCTGGTGCTCACTAAAAAATTCAAAACTCCCCAGGAATTTCTCCAAATTCAATGTTAATACAACTTTTGGAAAGCTCAATTACTGCCACTAATCCATAGCAATGTTTTGTTTTGTTTTTTTAAGCCTTTAAAAGGAATAAATAAAGTAAAACTGAAAAGTTTTTATTTTATTTTTCCAGTTCTAGTTTTTTTTTATGACATTTTAATTTGTGCCATTATGTGTAGCTTACAGCTAACTTCTTGCTAAGTTTCATATGAATAGGTAGAATTATGGCAACATTTTTATTTTTTTTTTTAAATCGATATCCAAAACACTTGTTGGTTTGTTGTCCCAATTTGTTACTAAAACAGTAATATATGTGTTATAGATATTATATACAAAAACATATACAAATCCCATTAAATATTTTTTCAAAATTGATATTTCTCTTTTGAAACTCAAAAAAAACTTTAAATATGAATTTTATTGCAAGTGAAAATTAAACAATTTATTAATTACACAATTTGTAACTATAATTACAAAAAATCAAGTATTAATTATAAATATTTTTCTGCTGAAGCTAGGCTAGTCATGTATTTTTGGCCAGTACTCCAAGATATTGGAGCTTAAATGTATTAAATACCGTTTGATAAATTGCCTTTGTAAGATTCATCTTCGGGATTCCAAGGGACGCCTCTGTTTCCTGTTATTATGAAGAGCTGAAATGGCTTTATCCTTCCTGCAAAACCCATTCCCGCTCTTCAGGTTTGTATACGATAGCCCACAGGACCACTGCTTTGGACAGATCTTTCATTATTTGATCCACGTCCCTATGGAATTCTATGCCATCCTACATCCACGCTCCACTTCCCTCCCCATCTTTAAATCCTGCCTGTTCAATCACCTCTTATCTATCCGTCTGCCTCAGAGATACTGGCAGCAGTAAATTGCTTAGACTCTACAGTGAAAGAGGATATTATGAACATGAAAACAGCCCTAGATAAATACGGGGAGCTTAGTTTTGAATTTAATGAAAGGCTATTGAAGATTGAAAAACATTTCTAAAGTCAATCTAAGCACTTTGAAGAAATTATCATTGAAAATAAATCCTGAATGGGCGAATTAGAAGTTCTTCTGAATAATGGCGAACAGAGCCTTTTATGTAGATCACTGGAGATTCACGGAATAGAGTTGGCGAAACACACACTGCTCTGGTGACCAGTATAAGTGCAAGCTTGGGGATAGGGGCTGAGTGCAGAAGACCTAGACACAGTACATCGCCGCAAAAGCAGCAAAGATGACCCATGACCTCTATCTGTCATTGTAGGCTTCGTAAGGCAATCAATCAGAGGCAACTTAATTGCGAAAAGAAAAGTTTAGAGGGACTTCTCCAAGCAAGATATAGGTTGGCAGGAGAATGACTACCACCGGATTTATCTGAGTGAAGAGAAGACTCCCAACAACAGACACCTCTATTGGCTTGCCCAATAGAAGAGAGCTGCAGGAAAAATCAAATATATGTGGTTTGCCACTGGAAAGGTGTGATGCGGAAAGGAGGACGGACTTAAGTTATCCTGGTCGAATGGGCCTCGGATCTTGATGTATTCGCCTGACTAATTCCTCAACCCCTCATCCTCATCAAAATAACTTTCAACACAACTGGCTTCAAAGGAATATTCTCGCTTCTACACTTTCTCTCACCAATTTATTCATTTTTAAACACATATCTTTTATTTATTGTTTCTAACATACTTTTTCCTCTCTTATTTTTAATGATTGCAAATACTAGTCTAAATTTTCTAGTTGTTTTAGTTACTCTTCACAAAATACTGACTGTTTCCCTCTGAATTCATGTTCATTTCTAGTTCCCTAATCACCTGTCATGTTAACGCTCAATCCCTCCCTGCCCACTATGACAAATTCCTGCAGTATTTTACTCAAAATTTTTATCTTATTATCGCAATCTCTGAAACCTGGCTTGTAAAAGTCTAATCCTTTTATACTCTTCTTTCTCCTTGCCTAGTTACACCCTCCTCTGTCATGGCTGGATAAGCCAGACTAGCGGTGGAGTTGCCATGTTTATTCACAATAGCCTGACGACCCGAGTCCTCAACTGCTCCCTACCTTCTGATCATCCACAAGTTGAATACCTACTAATAAAAATCCTCTGAAATACTTTTCCTCTCCTTTACGCGTGGTATATTGTTCTCCGCTTGTTTCATTTAATCCATCCTTCGAATCAATCCTATTCAACTTCGTTCCTCTCTATCCTAGAATAATCATCTCCGGTGATCTCAATATCAATTTGCTCTCCAACTCCAATGACAAATCCTATCTTGAAAATCTATTTTTCTCTCTCCATCTCTTCAAAGTTCCATTTTTCCCCACTCACCACACTTCTAGATCTGATACTTGGTTGGATCTATGTATTATTGATTCTGCTCAAAACCTTCTTTCCTCCTTGCAGTTACCAGTCTCCTTTCTATCCTCTCATGACCTGATCCAAATATCTTATAATATCCAAACCCCTCTGATACAACCATGAACATTTACATACCGCAACCTGAATTCCCTCATATGTGAAAAAAATCCTACCCAATGTCTAATCACTAGATTGGAATAGGATATATACCAGTCCCTCTATTAACACCATGGTCGACATTCTAATTCCTAACCTCCTCAGTTTCCTTGATATTTATGCTCCCCTTAAAACCACTACCCTTCGCTGCCAGCCTGCACCTTGGATGTGTCAGGAAATTAAGAATTTGTAAAAGAGAAATGATGCTGCCCACAGACGCTTCAGGTGTACTAGGCGTACTGACGACTATGAAGCATTTAGGGTGCTCCGCAATTTGACACAAACAAGGATTCGGTGAGCTAAAGCTACCTACTTCCATGGAGCCCTCGCATCTGCTCCTGATTCCAAATCTAAATGGTTAATCCTTCGCAGACTTTCCCTCTGTGAACTTTCCAGATCCCCTTCCTCACTGGTTTTTTCTGTTTCACTTGACAATTTAAATTCACATTTTATTTCTTCCTCTTCTACCTCTTCTTCACCCTCCTCTTCCAACTTTGCTTCTGGGTCATCATTCAATGATGGTTTATTTCTCCCACTGATCTTCTTTCTGCTGTTATGAAATCCCACACCAATTCAATAGGACCAGATGGCATCCCTGTCAAATTAATAAAATGATGTCTCCCTGGAACCCTCCCAGTTCTTTTCATCTACAATTTTTCGCTATAGAATTCAGTATTCCCAACCTCTTTAAAAAAAGCCATTGTCCTTCCGTTAAATAAAAAGCCTAATCCTTCTTCTCCCGATGATTTCTGCCCAATCTCAATTCTTTCCAATATCTCAAAGTCCCTAGAAAGATTGGTGCAATCCTAAGTTTCCAATTTCCTTGAAAAGTCCAACCAACTTGATCCTCTACAATTTGGTTTCCTTCCCGGCTACTTCACATAATCTGCCTTAATTAAAATTACCAATAATATTCAGACTGTGATAGATAATAAAAAATTAACTGTCCTTATACTTCTTGATTTCACCATAGCATTCAATTCCATTGACCATTCCATTCTGTTCAACAAACTAAAATCATTATCCTTTTCCAATAGTTCTGTCTTTTGGTTCCAATATTTCCTCTCACAAAATATCCAAGTAGTTTCCGTTCCCAATCTACCGCTATCTGCCTACCTTTCTTTATCCTCTGGAGTTGCCCAGAGATCAAGCATATCCGCTCTCTCTTTCAGCTCCTACATTACTGATCGAAATGTTTCAATTCTCCATTGTTCCCATCACCTTTATGCAGACGATACTCATATATACCTATCCTTTTCTCTCCCTGAGTTGTTGGTAGCATTTGCCAAGATTCAAGAAAACCTTTCAAGATTCAAGACAAAAGCCATCTTGATCGGATCACCCTCACTCCTCAAATCCTACCCGGTATCTCCCAATCTCGTCCTGAACAACTCACCTATCTTATTCCACAGCACCGTTACTTTTGATCAAACTTTGTCCTGGAAACCACACATCTCCCAAATTTCCCGTTGCACTATCTCCACCCTAAAACAGTTCAATTGTCTACGTCATCTCCTTCCATAAAAGTCTCAACTGACCTAGTCAACTCCTAGTTTCCTCTCTTGTTTTCTCCCACTTTGACTATGGCTGTATGGTGTATGGTGGACTCTCGGGAGATTTCGAGGCCAAACTTAAACGCCTAATGAATTGTGCACTACGATTTGTTTTCGGAATATCAAGGGATACGTATGTTAACCAGTATTACACCAAGTTGAGGTGGCTCTACCCATCCTATCACCGTCAGTACTTCCTAGCCACCTTTCTGTACCAGATCATTAGAACTCTTCGATCCTCCTATATTTTTCACAGTTTACAATTCAAATACTCCATCCAATCCCATCCCACTAAATCTCGTACTTCCGACATCTATCCTCCTCACCAAACTGCTGCATTTGACAAATCCTTTGCAATTCAAGCCGCCTCCCTCTGGAATTCCATCCCTGCTGATATTCGACACGCTCAATCAGTTTCCTCTTTCAAACCTCTTCTCTTTAAACACCTACTCTTTTCTCAATCCGAATGATTGCGAAATATGCCTAAGAGAAATATCTAAGCACCCCCAGTTATTTCTAAAAAGGTTATTTTAGTTTCTTATATATATGTACAATTTTCTTGTTCTTTTCTTTCTTCTTCAGTATTTTTATTTTTAGTCGACTCTTATTGTAAATATATAATCTAATTGTGACCACACAGACATACAATCTGTACTTATAATTTGTTCTAAAGGAACATCAGTCCCAGAATAATAAAATAATTGGTAATTGGTTGACTGTCGTGGATAATGAAGAGAAGAATAGTTGGGGTGGTCAGTCAAAAAGGAAGGCAAAAATAAATGATAATATTTATTTTTTACATATGTCGACGTTTCGACCTGAAGTTCAGGCCTTCATCAGGGCTAAGAAAATAACCAGATAACAAGGTATGAGAAACATAAGTAATGATAGTAAAAAAGATAATAAAAAATAAAAAAAGAAAATAAAAAAAATAGAAAAATAAAATAGATAAATATAAAGTAAAATGAAATTGTTAGAATAATGACTAAGAACTAAGAGATAAATAATAAAAACCATTACCAAGTGTGGAATGATGAAGTAAGCATAATCAAAAAGGGTAACAAAAGTGTTACAATGGGAATCTTAGAATAAAATGTAAAACATAAAAAAGAAATATGAAGTTATATAAGAAATGAAAATAAATAGTAAAATTAAAACATTGAGAATGGAGTAGTTAGATAGAAAATTGAGATATTGTAAAGTCTATCAAGATGTACAGACAATGTATAATATAATAAAGAGTTAAAAACAGAGAAAAGGAATGAAAGAAAGGAGGGAAGAAATTGAGAAAGCTGAAATAAGATAATAAAATAATAAAATAAATATTTTTTTTATTTGAATAATAAAATATTTTTTCATTTTCACTATACTGAGTTAAGGTGGCTCTTCCCTTTCTTCCGAAGACAATATTTCTTAGGTACATTCTTCTATCAAATCATCAAAAATCATCGACCTTCTTACACCTTCAACCTTCTTCAATTCAAGTCCTCAGTCCATTCCCTTTACACAAGATCTCGACCCGCTGACCTTTACATCCCTTCTCACAGATCTGCCTCATTCCAAAACTCCTTTATTTCTCGCTCTGTTAATTTCTGGAATTCCCTTCCTATCAAAATTCGGCATTCCCCCTACATATCTATATTTAAAACCCTCCTATTCCGATTCCTGTCCCAAAAACAGATACCCGCTAACCTTTTATGATGTAATTACCTATTATTCATAATGATGTATTAACATATTTTTCATCATTTAAATACTCAGACAATTTTTACTAGCATATTCGCCTTTTTTTTTTTTTTAACAGTTTATTTTAAAGAAGAAAAATGTATTTTTATTTAAAAGTATATATTTATGTTTTACTACTGTACGTAGTTTTAAGTGTCTTTTCATAGTTTCAAGTGTTTTGTATATAGGTTTTTTGTTTTGTTTGTAGTATGTTTAACTAATGTTTTCTTTACTTTTTTCTTTTTCTTTTTTGTTTTTATTTAGGCCAGATGTAACTTTTTAATTTTGTACTATTCTGTTATTCTAAAGGGGCTTTGTCCCAGAATAAAATTATTTTCTATTCTATTCAATTCTATAACTCTAAAATCTCCTTAATTATGATTTTAGAACTTCTCAAAGTTGCTGTTGAGGACAAAAACAAATTTTTTAAATCCATGATTGCTGCTGCTGATTTCAGTAAATCTGTACCCAATTTTCTTTATTCATCTATGGCAAACCATGCACCAATTATAGCTCTTGATCTTCTTTATAATACTATTCTTCAATCTAGTAATCATACTTCTAATTATATGATCAAAACAAGCAGTCATCCCATTAGTACATCCTTGGTAAGAATTTAAATATTATTTTTATTGAAAATTAATGAATATTATACATTCATTACATTGTTGTTCAATTTGTTTCTTTATTTGTTATGATTCGTAGTATGTGCATATACATGTGCAAGTGTGTGTATAAGGAGGTTTATGTACATGCATAATGATGTATGCTGTAGGTTTATGACAGCTAACGATTTCCACTCATACATACTGTTTTTAATGATATTACCTTAACTAATATTTGTCTCTGCCCATCTCTACTCAGAAAATCATAATGGCACAGTGTCCTGTCTGTAAATCAGCAGTTGCCTGGGATGACAAGTCAGTACTCACATGCTGCACTTGTAAAAGCATTTATCATAATTAATGTTCTACCATGACAGAAGCAATGGGAGTACAATGCATACAAGAGTAGATGAAGTTGGGTTCTACGCAATATAGCATCATGTTCAGTAAAAGTTTGGATCAAAATATTATGAAATTACTCAAAACACCACCAAAACTTAAGAAATAAAGAGCACATTGATATAAACAGAGAAATAAAATCTTACAAATTCCAGTAGATTAAAGTCAGTGGAGAAACGTGCCAAAAGACAAAATGAATTATTTGAAAAATTTTACATGAAAATAGAAGTCAATTAAAATTGATAAAAGCAAGGTTTAACATAGGTGTAATAGTCCCAGTTGTCTCACTATCTTGATATTGGAGGAACTTTTTGTTAATTTTAAGCTTTAATAACATTTGCACAGAAAAGAACATTTTATTTTCTAACACTAAATACAATATGTGGGATATGTGGGTCTGGCACATCCCACGTTTTTGTCACTAGTTTTCAACTGCACCCAGACGTCCTGCTTCTTGGATAGCCAAGGGAGATCTCTCCCTGTCTTGTCGTAGTGTCTCTTGTACAATTGCTTTCTCGCTTCTAGACGCTTCTTGATGTCTTCTGAAACTTGAGGGCAAAGCTTAAACTCAGCAGATGGGGCTAACAGTTTGGACATCAGGAGCTGTGAAGGGCTTGCATTCAAATGTTGGAGTGGAATATTCCTCCATTCTAGATGTGCCATCTTCAATTCCTCTTTCCCTTCCTTAACTATTTTGATCAGAGATATTGCTGTTCTGACAGCTGATTCTGCCTTTCTATTTGCTTGATGATTATATGTATGGTGAGGATAGAATGATTTTAAATTTCCACCTTCTTGAGAATTCATGAAACTCATCACTAATTAATTGCAACCCGCTGTCGCATACTAACTCATCCGGTATATCAAATCGACAAAAGACTTCCTTACAAAATGAGATCAGTGCAGCAGTCTTAAAAGAGTTTACTTTATTTATTTCAAATAATGAAGAATAGTATTCTGTGGCAATAATGTAATGCTCATTAAAAACTTGGAAATAGTCCATTGCCATGAATTGCCAAGGCCGTTCTGGAGTCTCATATGAAATAAGAGTTTCCTTCCTTTGCGCAACAACGTACTTTTTGCATGGTACACAGTTGTCAATCTCATTTTTAATGTCTTCAAACATTTTTGGCCAGAAAAACACGTCCTTGGGTTGGCGGATACAGCTTTCACTCCCGTGATGAGGCGAATGAATTATTTTTATGAATGAATGAAAAAAAAAATTTATTCTGATTTGATCAAGGTTGACCTTAAACCCTTAGGTATATGAAGTGTGTCTTCCTTCAAGATGACACCTTCTTCTACCGTCAGTTCATCCCTGATGCCCCAAAAGTCTTGTTGGTCTTTTATAACCATAGTCTTCTTTTCTGGCCAACCCTGTTTAGTAATCTCTTGTAGCTTCTTTACTTCATTATCCCTTGCAGAATCTTGCTGAACCTCTTTTATACGGTTGTCGGTTACATTAAGGTACATAAGTGGATAAAATACAATTGTGTTCTTATCGCACTTTGATGTAGTTCTGTTGTCCTGATCTGGAATTCTGGATAAGAAGTCTGCCTCAGGAATGCTTTTGCTTGCTTTGTAGAGCAGATTAAACCTTAATTATTAGTAACCTTAATTAATTAGTAAATCTTTGTAATTTTAACATCATTCGAAGAAGCCTCTTAGTTGCTTGGTTTAAAGGTTTTTTGAAAATTGATTCTAGGGGTTTGTGGTCTGTCTTCACAGTTATGCCAGTATTGCTCCAAAAAATATTGCTCAAATTTTCTGAAACCAAATACTATGGCCAAACATTCTTTCTCAGTTTGAGCATAAGCTCTTTCTCTTTTAGTCATGGCCTTGGATGCACACGCAACTGGCCTTCCATCTTGAATAAGGCATGCTCCTAATCCATATTGACCCACATCGCATTGCAGAGCTGTGGGTTTGTTGAGTTCGAAGTATTTCAGAGTGGGCAGTTGGTTGCCAAGTAAATCAGTTCTTGGTAAGTGATTTGCTGTGGGCTTTCCCAAAACCAATACGAATCGTCCTTTATCAGAGCTCTCAATGGTCAGGACCCTCAGTTAAGTGTGGAATCATTTTTCCAAGATATTTGAAAAATTCTAGAAATTTAAAAGATCCTACCTTTGTTTTAGGGACCTTCTAGTGTTGAAGTGCTTCTATTTTGTTCAGATCAGGTTTCATACCCTTATCTCTTATTAGCGTCCCATAAAAGTTATTTATGAAAACCTGAAGCGACATTTTTGCTTATTAAACTTGAAATTTTTTTCTCTGGCCCTTAGTAACAAATTTTTCAGTTTTTTATTATGATCAGACAATCACAATGTTAAAATGTAGGTATGTGAGGATAAATCAAGATTAAAGATGAAACTTGTCAGAAATTGTTCATTACCCTCTCCATAATAACTGTATATCTATTCATTGTATCAGTGCCTCAAAATGAAATTTTGATGGTAATGAGCATAATTAAGATGTGGTGATGAAGTTAGGAACTTAAAGAACCTGCCAAAGTAAAGTTATTGGGTCTTGAAAGAAAATAAACAAGCTATTCTGCAAGAACTTTTAATAGAGAAATATAACTTAACTTAAGGACGGACCATTAGACAAGGGTAAGATCTAATTTCCAGGGCTCCAACTTGTCATCAAAGGAGATAATACCTTGAAAAATACATCATTTTTCTGTGCAAGAATAATATTGACAGTGTGTTGATAGTGATAACTAACAACAGAGACAAAATTTAGCTTATTCTAGAATCAAAAAAATGCTAATTAACATCAAAAGACTACAGTTTTGAACCTCATATACTATAACCTTTTAGTGATGGAAATCATTTTCAGAATACAATGAAGCAATTATTGCTGTGCATATTTAATTGCACCTTAGACTATAAAAAAAAGTGGTACTAAGAGTTGAGATGCCTGATTCAATGAAAAAGTTGTTAATTTAGTCAAGAATCATCGTTTTTGTTCTTGTGATCCAGTTGTGAAATAAATATAATATATAAATAAATAAAATATAAGACCCATTATATTAATGACATTTAGAAGGGATATGATTTTTGAATTTTTTCCAAGATTCACCCATATTGGAGTGAGTGAGCAGGTGTTAGTGTGTGTGTGTGTGTGTTTGTGTGTTTGTTATATTTACCAAATGTATGTTAAAACACACTGATATAGTATTAATATTGATTCTTATATTTATAAAGTTGTTTTGTTTGTTTATTTTAGGGAATATGTGGGGATGATGGCATTGGATTGATTAGTTCTACTGCAGCATGGATTAGTACTCTTCCTCTGGGTCTTTTTATAGTTTGTTCCAGTTTTATTAAAAATGTTCATGAAGAAAGAATATCTTCATTAAAGCATCTCATTCTAATGACTAATATCTCACCTGTGACCTATTGGACTTCATTCTTTATTTGGGATATAGTTCTTTACATTGTTTCTATTTCACTAATTATGATTACATTTGTCTTTATGGATACTTCAGAAATACTTTATATCGATAATGGCCTTTGTAAGTATTTGTTATTAAGATAAAGTTTATTTAGTTACTATCAATTATAAGTTAATAATTAACCATTAGTATATAAATTGCATACCACACTAACACAAATCTCATCGTACAACCTTTTTAACTTTTCAAACTTCATAAACCCCCAGTGTTCCTCTCCAACCCATCACTTCCAATATTAATTCTCACTCTGTCATATTTAACAGCTTTCTGCTCTCTTCCTTACAATAACTAAATCCTTTCTTTTTAAAAACACCTCCCTAATGTTATTATATTTTTGTCTGTAAGAAAGGGCCTTAGGCCCTAAGACAATTAACAATCAATCTCTCCCTTCCTATTTCTCTGCAACCCTCCTCTTATTCCCTGTATATATCTATACTTTATATTACCTCTCTTTTTGATCAAACTTAAAAATCCTAATGTTTCTCCATCCCTAACCTTCAAGTTTTTTTTTAAAATTCCACAACAAACTTTCCAACATTTGCACTCCCCTTAAAAACTATTCCTCTTCAACATTGCTCCCCTGTATATTTCATGTTATACCGTTTCTTCTGTTTTATCCCAATTGTAATTTTTCTTACATTGGGTAAACAAAAAATATCTCCTGACGTATTGCATCATTCTTCTACCTCTAAACTTTCTGTACCATTTTAAATTACCTCTAAACTCAAACCATTTTATTTTAACAATACCTCCATGCCAACAATAACAATGCCTCAGTCCCAATCATGACTACAATTACTCGCAGGGGCATCTAAATCCAATTAGAATAGAACCTATACCCATAAAAAAAACTAAAAAATAGCTTATTTCATAGGGGATGAAATGCTGAACTTTTACCTTGCTTACAGTATGCAGGTCCAAATTTTACTTTCTGAGATATTTTAATCTGTATCTTCAATAAAACTGGTTTTGGACTCTATTTTTTCTCTTTTCGCCTCTCTAACACAGTTTAGGTATATAAATAGTTTCTGAAATATTTTAATCCATATGCAAAAATACTTTAATTGTTTGACTCATAAAACCATGAATTATGGATTAAAATATCTCAGAAAGTAAAATTTGGAACTACATACTCTAGACAAGGGAGATGTTCAGCATTCCATCCTCTTTCTACTAATATATTATTCAAAATTGTGTCATAAGGCGACACCATGTTAGAGAGATGAAAACAAAAAAATAGTTTTGAAAACCAACTGATTACGAGTTTTATTGAAGATATGGTTTAAAATATCTCAGAAACTATAATTCGGACTTACATACTGTAAGCAAAGAAAATGTTCAGCATTTCATCCTCTTTGTAATGACTTATTATTCAAAATCGTATCTTAACCGAGCAAAGAGACATTTTTCTTAAAATGCCCCTAAAACTTTAAATTGACCTGTCTGAGCTGGCAGACAAGCATGTTTGTAATACCTAAAGGAGTACTGTTAGCCTGTTAGATTGAAAATTTGCTTAAAATACTACTGCCTTTTTGGCCCTGGCTCCAGGTTTATAAAACTCTCTCCTCATCTCCTTCAATATCATTTATTAAATTTAAAAAGCTATCTCTATAATTTAATTTTTATTTATTGTATTAATTTATTATTATTTTATTTATTTATTTAATTTATTCACTTTTTTTCTTCTACATACCATTGTTGACTATTCCTTATACATTTAATTAAAGTTTTATCCATCCCTCCATATTCCACCAATTTAATCTCTTTACACCAAATCATACGTTTATAATAGAATAAACCCGTCTTGTCATGCTTACTACTATTTAACTCTGGTCTCCATTTTCAACCAATAAAGTCAATTATTCCTTTAAATTGACAAAGAAATCATATATACCCAACAATACGAGCCTTTAGCTTACATTAAAATATGAATGAGAATAGGCAAAACCTCATTGATTTCTCTGCAGCTATTGGTTTGATCGTCAGTAGCTCATTATTATTATTATCATTATTATTATTTCTTGTAAAAAAAAATTCATAAAGTCACGTGTCACCAAAGTCACCTGGAAATCACCAAATGGATCCATTGTTAACTAAATCTGTCACATTTTGATAAGCTCGTGTCATCAATCCAGCCTTATCGGTGTTAGAGTTTATATGGGAGCCAATATTGATTGGATACATAGGCAATTCAACATTGCTGCAAGATCTGAGCTTGTCCTCAAAGAAGACAGAAGGACTCAGAGAAGCATAGAAACTTGGCTGAGCTATCAATGAAGCCAAGATAAAGTATTTGGGAGTAAGAAGAGCAGGGGCAGGGGCTAGTTTGTTTGAAGTTGGTGACTACAGATTTGAAACTGAATAAGTCTAGCCAAACACTTTAGGAGCTGGAACCTCTCCAGCAAGACAAAAATCAGCCTTTATAAGACCTTGGTACACCCAGTTCTTACATATGGGTCAGAATTATGGGCCTTCATCAGAGCTCATGAGAAAAGACTGCTAGCATTTAAAAGAAAAGTAAGAAGAACAATATTTGGCCTGGTTTAAGAGAGAAACACCTGGAGAAGACAGAAGAACATGGAGCTTTCAGTGATATATAATAACATTTATGTGTTCAAGTTTATTAAGATCGGAAGACTTTGATGGGCAGGCCATGTGGTGAGGATAAAGGATGATATACCCAAGAAAATTTTGACTGATGAGCTTCATTGCAAGCGGAGAGTTGGCCTAATGTAAGAGGGTGGAGTCTGTCACTCCAGTCTGGGTCCCTCTTGCCACCCGAAACTGGAGAGCTGCTGCAACCGGCAATGGGTGGTGACTTTTAGAGGAGCCCTATATTTGGGGACAGGTGGTAGCACCTACTATAATGTTGATGATTCTTTTAAATCATTAAATGAATAATGACTTTATCTTATTTTCAGTAACCAGTACTTGCCCTGCAATAGCCAGCATATAGTTCTATGGTTAACCTTAGTTCCCTTTTTTTTGTTTACTCTACTTACCATAACTACTCCCCACCTTACCTTCTCCTGTTAGCAGGCTTTCTTCCTCCAACAGTACTGGACTGGTATGTTGCCTCTTAATTTAACTTTAAATTTCCTTATTCCTCTCAATGCTAACCCTCCATTGCTAAAATTGGATATAAATCATCTTTTTACATATTAAATAAACTCACTATCACTGTTATTTACTTAATTTTTTGCACTTTTCTATATGATTACACATTATTTTGTATATTTAACTTTTATTTTAAATTAATGAAATGAAATTAAATGAAAATAACTTTATTATTCTGGAACTAGTGTCCCTTTAGAACAAATTATAAATGCAGAATATAAATAAACATGTCAGTGTGTCTGTAGCTTAAATTAAATATTTACTAAATGATTGATAATATATAGTAAAAATTCAGGTATTAGAAATAAATAAATTAAACATACATAAACATAAAATAATCAGAGAAAGATGAAATAAAATAAATAAACAAAATAGTATCTGGGGATACTTAAATTTTTATGACTTAGACTCTTAGGTGCATTTCATGATCAATCGTATTGGGAATGGAATAGGTGCTTAAAGAGGAGAGATTTGAAAGAGGAAACTGACTTTGCATGTAGAATATCAGGAGGGATAAAATTCCAGGATTTCAAAGAATTGTCAAAAGCAGCAGTTTGGTGAGGAGGATAGAGGTTAGATGTACAGGATCTGGTGAGACAGGGTTGAATGGAGGATTTAAATTGTAGGCTCTGTAGAAAACAGGAGGGTCGCTGAGATTTAATAGCTTGTTATTAGAAGGTAGCAATGAAGCACTGATGGCGGTAGGACGAATTCTATTTCTATTACACCACTTCAACTCAGTGTAATAGAAATAGAAAAATTATCTTTATTCTGGGACACAGTCCATAAATAATAACAATATTGTTCATACAAATTATCAATAATACTGGCCAAAAGACCTATTACAATAATGAGTAAATAAAACAAATAATAAGACAAGTCCATACATCGTTCTGAAGATATATTAACGAAAACAGATGAGCATTAAGGTTACAAGACTGCAATATAGCTGTTAAAAACAATAAAATAAAAAGAACTAAATGAAATTGGAAAGGAATGTTAAATTAATTTTTATAGACAAACCATTGTAGTGACAAAAAAACTAACTAAAGTAAAAACTAACTCCTGGCAGACTGTTCTATACTATTGCCAATCAAAAAAGTTTTGTTTAAAATAGAAAAAGGAATATGTAAAATTTATATGAAATAAAGCTTTATTTCTATCTATCTATATGATATTGTATATATTTTTATTAATATAGTTTTTGGCCAGATATAGATTTTGTTTTTTGTTCATAATTGTAATTCTTTAGATACCTTGTCCCAGAATAAAGTTTATTTTCACTATATTGAATAGCAAGTAGCAAGTGATTACATTAAGGATAATACAATCATGACACCATATTGTTACTGGAGTCTCATTTGTTGAATAAAAGCCCAATTTTAAAGTCTAAAATTATTTCCTCTCTTATGCATTGGTTTTTATTATTTATCTACTTACTTGACTCCCAATATAAAAATGATTGATAATTTGAAAAAGAGTAGCTTTTTGTATTTTGTAAATTTGGGGGGCGTAACTCATTATGAATTTATTTCAGAAAGTAGAACCATTTAAGTAGAACTTAATAGTAAAAAGTTATAAAGAATACATGAACCTAATGAGATTGAGCTTCTTCATTACCCTGATTCTTTTCCAGACTTAACACCTTCTAGCTACCAGTTACTCTGGTCACTGACTTACTATCTTCAAGGAAAAACCTTTAACTTTAACTAGACGAGGTTTAAGTCCTTTAAATATTATTACATTATATTTGAATATAAAATATAAATATTTCTTTTTTTTTTAAAGAAAGTCAATTTGCAAACAATGTATTTTACATTTTACTTCTTAAAAGATAAAATTCATTTATTTTGTATTTTAAATTATTTTATTTGAAGTACTGCCCAGGTCTAGTTTACCCAGTAATTGATTAAAATAAGCCAGTATTAATAAGTTATATAGGTTATAAGTTATAGAGGAGTTGGTAGGGATTGCAGTCAAATAAATACTATAAACTAGAATAGTATTTAATTAACCGCATCCCCGGCCAACTTCTTCTCATATCATAATCACAGTCAATCACCTCTACACCATTATATATCTTTTTAAGTTTTGTTAGTAATTGCTATATGTGTGTGTATATACACATACCTATACCTTTTATTATTTTTTAATTTATGGTTTTTTTTTTTTCAGATTCACTTTTTCTGGTATTCTTCTTATTTGGATTCAGTATGATTTGGCTAACTTATTTCTTAACCTTTTTTTTCAAGACTTCTTTAGGTGCTACAACTGTATATTATTCAGTTATTTTTGTTTTAGGTAATGTATCTCAACAAATTAATTTTATATTTAAAAATTATTTTGTCTTAATATATTTAATTCAGTGTAGGGAGGAGGTGGCCCCATCGCCAAAGTCCCGCAGACAGCCACTGGCCTTCCAGATGGGGGGGGGGACAGTTCACTGACTCTCATATAAATACACTAACTACAGCGCACTACACTCACCCCCACACTACAGACCAAGGTCAATTACACTACACACCCTTGGGTCACATTCCCTAAATAGTCTCCCAGATGTGAAAGCATATCAGATGACTTCAAGGAGGCCTCCATCTGAATCTTGGGCAGCTGGTCTAATAACCATTTCCTGTTAAACAAAAATTATTATGAAACCTCGAACTAATGGAGCTGGACTGTCAAGAATGGTGCAACTTGGCTCTCATCATACAGACTTCATGGTGGATATTGGAATGTTTTCTTACCCTATACAGTTCCTGAGCTCTTCGGCAACTTCTGGAGGTACTGATAAAAAAGCAGATATAACTGAACTCCATGAAATTAGAAGGAATGACAAAGGCTATATAGAAAACAGAAACCACACCATCTACTATAGCTATGACAACAGATTGCATAACTAAGGAACGGGCTTTGTAGCGTCTGTAAGATGTAAAAATTTGACCATGAACTTCAGACCAGTGGGCCTGCGACTCTGTTTGCTTAGGATCAATGGTAAATTCTTTAATTATACCTTGATTAGTTGTCATTCACAAATTAAGACCTCTGCTGATAAGAGAAGATTTGAAGATCATCACAGGTGACTTTAATGCTTTAATCAGAAGAGAAAGAAGTTACAGGATAACAATTAGGAAGCATATCCTACATGAAATAAGCAATGACATTGGCTGATAAATTTTTGTGAATCACAGAATCTAGTTGTTGGCAGTACTTTCTTCCCAGAAATATACCCAAGGGTACATGGCAATCCCCTGATAGACCCACTTTTAAACAAATAGACCATATTTTGATAAATGCCAGGCATAAGTCAGACCTTCTCCTTTAAAAATATATAAATTATGTATTTAAAAGTTAGATACTGCAGACCCCCTACTGTAGTATCCTACATTGCGTAGTAAAATTTTTATTGAATATCTTTTCAAATGGTGGCATGCAACAAGGAAGATTGTTAAAGAATTAAGATTTAAACAAAAAATAATCTATTTATAATTTTAAACAAAAAAAAAAAAAAAAATACATTTATGTACAATCATTATTGTAGAATCATATTAGAAGAATGCTAGTTTGAATGGTGACTGAAGTTACTTACCATAGACTGAAGTTACTGATTGAAAAACTTGAAAACTATAATTGAAAAAAGTTACTAGTTGCCAAACACAAAATTACACAGTTACTATCTTAATGGGTATTACTGTCATCTGGTGGTCTGCTTCATTGATGTCCTCTTCTCCTGGACCATCATCTTCGAGGTAGCCTCTAAGTCCGCTATGCTCGAGTCCTTGCCAGTGCCAACGCTCTACCCCTTTCTACTCACTTCTCCAGAATTGCTCTGTCCCTCTGCTGTCTCCAAAACTTCAACTGTACCCCTGGCGGTGGTCTCTCACTAGACTCCTTGGACCACTCTCCCAGGGTCTTGTGCCGACCCTTGTACTGACGGACCTTATCTTTATGAACCCATTAGCAAACAGTGCACTGAAAAGACCTCACCTCCTATAGGTATAGGACCCTACTCTGCCTGAAATACTCGATAGCTATCTTTTAAGTTCATTTCTATTGAATTTTTAAATATTTTTTAACTCTAGCCTCTACAATACACAGCAATACAAAAAGTTATTAAGTAGCATTTTAGAAAATTAAATTACTATATAACTTGATGTATTTTTCCTCTGTGAAATCAAAACTGTGCATACATAGTGTAACTATTTTTTATATTAATTAGATTTGTGTTATTTTAATGAGTTTTTGGTTTTTAGTTTTGGGTGTTTATCCATACAGATGATCAAAATTGACAAATTTATTAGTGCAAGTCTAGTTCCATCGAAAGTGTAATTAGTGACTTTGCTATAAATTGAGGATATGTTAATTATAAAACTTCAGAGGTTATTGGTTTAAAGCTATGCCAATCTTGAATTTCTTTTTAGAATTAATTTAGTTAAATAATTAGATATAACATTTCTTTACTCTTAGTTGAATAAAGTTGGTTAAAATTTGAATAATATTGGTTAAAATTCATTTAAATTTCTTGTCTGTTTTCTAGAAACTTGTAATTTTTTAGGTTGGATTGGGTTTGCTGTTAGTAGTCTTTGCCCTGTTGAGTATAAAAGTTATGCTGATGTTTTAAAATTACATCCGTTGACTTCATTAGCTGAAGCCATATTTAAATTTATTACTACTGCAATATCAAAATTTAAGTGTCAAAATTGTCTACCTGATGTTACTTCAAATATGAATTGTCCTGGTATAATTAATAATTTTCTATTTGTGTTGTATTTTAAAAACAGTTTTATATTCAATTAATAATTTTTTTTTGTTTTTAGAAATTTTAAAATATTCCTATTTTAGTGAAATGAAAAATAGTTTATTGTTTCTTGGAACAGCGTGGGTTATATGGTTAATTTTGATAATTTTGAAGGATTATGGTATCTTTTCACTTCTCTGGAACAAACTAAATTCCTTATATCTTGGACATATTGAAGCATCTAACTTGAGAAGTATTGAAAGTGATGTTGCTAAGGAGAAAGACAAAGTTGATGCATCTCTAAGCTTAACAGGTACACAATTTCAGATTCAGTTTTCAGTTACAATTTGTCCAATAATTTTTTAGCATCATTCTTGCAGCTTCAGATTTGCCACTCATAGAAATTCACATCCTCATCAAAAGATTGAAACAAGTGCAATGTATATTAATAGTGTAAAGTTTAAATAAATCTAGTTTAAAGAAGTAGGTTATGTTTAGGTTTTCAGCCAAGTAAACAAGTGAGTAGGGGGGTGAAAGTCCAGGAAAAATCTTTCACTGCTCCAATGACACCATTGGAGTAGTGACAAATTACCGATCTAGTGGCAGTGACAAAAGCCTTCTCATCCATTCTTTTTCTTACTTAATTTATAAATATATGGGTATATACATAAATCATATTTTTGAATATGAGAACAATAATGTAGTTTATTTTATTGAACCTCAATCCATTTTAATACCAATTTTATCTTACCTCAATCCACAGAAAATATATATTATTAACAGTGGAGAAAATAGTTATATTGTTGCTATAAGGTCCATGTACCAGGACTCAAAGGGCATAGTTAGAATAAATGAAATAGAGTCTGATAGTAAAGCAAGGGGACAGCTTGAGCCCCCTACCTACTGTTCATTGTATATATGGACGAGTAATGCATATTGGACGGGATCAGGAGGTTTTTGAAATTTATTACAAAGGAGAGGTACTGGAAATGGTGGAGGGCTACACATATCTAGGTGCAGTAATAAACAAAAAGTCTCGACCATAAAATTTCTAACAGGATTAAAAAGGCCAATGATGTGTATTACAGTTTATACAATGCAGTCATTGGAAAGAGGCAGGTAGAGATGAATGTAAAAATACATATTTTTAAAGTGGTATATCTACCAACCCCAATGTATGGTAGTGAAAGCTGGGTCCCATTTTTTTTTTTATAGGAAAAATTACAAAATAAAATTATATATATATATATATATATATATATATATATATATATATACACACATATATATATATATTTTTACAAATAGGTTAATGCATTAATAAGATTATAAATTATAATACTTTAGTCTTTTTTTCTGTTTTCCTCTTCTTTTTTTTGAATCTTACCAAGGCTCTCTCTTTCTTTCTAATTTCCAAATCTCTCTTCATATTTTCTTTCCGTTTATGGTATTCTTGCCACTGTTTGAATGTGATTACACTTGGTATTATCACTCTTGATTTTTTTTGTTTTCTGTTAGTTCTTTTATTTCTGGTCAGAACAATACTATTTGAATGGACTTGGTATAAAGTTTGTATCTTTATTTATTATAAATTTGTATGCAATTTTTTGTGATTGCATGGCTTACCTGTAAACATTTACATAAAATGGATTACATAAACTTAACCGAAGCATTACAGAAGGATTTATAATTTTTATTCATGAATCAGGTGGCCTGAGATGTCAAAAATATTATTATCACTAGTTCCTGCAATGAGAATTAAATAAAACTTACAAACATACTAATTGTTTACTATTTACTAACCTATCAATGAAATAGTTGAAAACTAAATAAAGCTAATGAAATTACTTAGTATTAGGCATGGGTGTCTATTACTAGTCCTATTTCTTAAATGTTGTTCCAGTAATAGACACCCAAGTTTAGGGGTTAATAGGTTATTTTATATAATTTAAAACAATGAAAATAAATTCTGCACTGTTTTAGATCAGTAGAATCAATTTTAACTACTGATGGAAATTAACAATTCTGCCTACCTCTTCTGGAAATCAAGACTTAAGTAGAATTATATTTGTTTGAGACAAATGAATACTAAGTTTCAGAAATTTGAAGTTACTTTTATTTCCAAATATATTTACAGGATAGGCATACATTTTGAATTGGTACTCAAAAAAGTACATAAATGTAAAATATATATACATTAATATTTTAAAGATTATTTACTCCAGTATTTTAATCTATTTGTAATTAAGAAATGATGGATACTTTATTGTTGACTAATTTCAAGTAATGATCACTTTTGAAATCAGTCAGCTGTCATTATAAATAAAACATAAATAATGTGTTTGTTTTGTTGACTGATCCATGGTATAATAATCATTCTTTGTCAGTATCTATGTTTAATAAAGCAATAATGAATTGTTAAAGAAAGCAGTAAATTAAAATCATACATTGGCTGCCTTATTATTAAAACTAAATTAAGTTGAATTTTTTAAAACTATTAAATACATAAATGTTGTTAGTTATATTCTGATTTTTAGATGAAGATGGAGCACCAATCGTGATTGTTGATAGTATTGCAAAAAAATATTCACGCTCAATGATTGCTGTTTACGATGTTAGTTTTACATGCAAGGAAGGCGAATGCTTTGGTCTCTTAGGAGTGAATGGTGCTGGTAAAACTACAACATTTAGTATTTTGAGTGGAATGATACTACCTACTCAAGGAAATGCATTTATTAAAAGCTATTCTTTAGAGCAAAACAAACGAAAAGTATTATATTTTATATTTAAAAATAAATTTTTAGTATATCTAATTATATATATTTATGCATTATCTGATTTTTTTTTTTTACAGTGCTTATCATATATGGGCTACTGTCCTCAGTTTTCTGCTCTGATAGATGATCTTACAGCAAAACAGATACTCACATTATTTGCTAAATTACGTTTGGTCCCGTCTCATAATGTAGATGCGACGGTCATGAATTGGATTCGTCTACTTGGTGAGAACATACTTTTACATCCTTGAATACTGAATTTCATATTGCTGTAAAATACAAAGTTAACCAAAGCCACCCAAAATATTTGGTTTTGTAAAATCTTAAATATTTTGATAAAATTTAAATATCTGGGCTTCATCATTGCTAATTAATACCATTCTTAAATCAGTTACTTTTATATACTTTTCATTGTTTCACAAATCTTCCATCAGAGGTGTCACCCATTTTCGCACTCATCATTCTCTAACACTAAATTCTTCTTGTGATGGCTTAGATAGACGTAATGTAAAGCAGTTATCAAAATAGAATGAAAGGTTTTTCTAATTTAGTTGACAACCAATCAAGTACAAAGACCTTAATAGTAGCAATTTAAAAAGTTGATGTAATCTGTGACAGTACATGTGAGGAATATAATTACAAAAATTCAAAAAAATTAAAGCCAAAATTATTGTGTATTTCTTGTCTGGTTTTGACTACCAGTATTATGTAAATTGGATAAAGTTTACTTATATTATTCTTTCACTGCCAAAGAGTCTTTAGTAGAGAAGTAATTTTTTTTTAATTTGTATAATTTAGGTTTTCAAATAAGGTTAGGTTGGCATAGAAATTTGAAAAAATAGAAGAAAAAAAAAAGATTATGAGTATGAACCCCATTAAAATTAATGTCAGAGAATATCTTACATTATACTATATTTTATACTAGCTTTACCCACCCACGTGCTGCTGTGGCTGTCTAACAAAATGGAAAAGAAAGAACATATGAATGGCTTAATATCAAAGACGAACATCTGTCATTTTTAAAAAGTTAAGAAAAATCCGATTTTCTGTAATATAGCTTCAATGAATAGCTAATCTATCTGTAAAATATTCTTTGTTAGTGAATCAAACTGAAAAAAAAAAAAGTAAATGAAGAGCACAATTAAAAAATATTTAGTGAATACTATATCTCAATACAAAGGAAAATTCATAATGGTATGGTACATCATTAAAACAAATAGAGTCAGTTAACTCAAATTTGTCAATGACATCAAGAACCACATTAAATGTATAAACACTTTAAAACAATTTTAGGATTACAATTTTAAATGCCTACCATCCGCTGTTGAAAAAATTTTATATTGATAATCTGTGCAATTATCTGAGGCACTGCACAAGAAAATAAAAAATGTGGTGACTGTACAAAACTAGAAAATGGTTGTAAATCTCACTTCAGAGTTCAGATCTCAATCCCATGGAACACCGGTACTTTTGAAAAGCTTAGTGTGTTAAAAACAATTTTTAACAGGCAGTTGAAAGATGCTTTTCAGGATGAATTGGAGTCGTCCCCATGTCGTGATTTCCCCATGAATCACCAAAACATTGGCAGAATCAGTACTCTGACTTTTATTACAAATAAAGGTTGTCATATGGGCTTAGTTTATTTTTATTTTTTCAGAAAAAGTTATTATTTCCAATGACTGTTCCAGTACTATTTGCTTATTCATTTTTTTATTTAATTGTTATCTTTAATAATTTAACTGTGTCATTTTTAATATTGGACTTTTTTTTTTATCAAGAATAAAATATGGTTTATGACCCTGCAATTCATGGTTTTCACTAAAAATTGACCAATACCGATATTAATATCGGCCGATATTTATTTATTTATTTTTTGTGTTGGCTCAAGGCACGTCGACCCCTGAAGGGTCCATTGTGCGCCAATTCAGTTATTCGTTTATTATCAAAACGTTGTTTTTGCTACTTCCGCATATCTTAATAGGCTGGTTGGATTGACCGTCTCAATATCTACTAGTGTTTAGGCAACTGTTACAATTATGGCAAAATAACTCTCATGAGTCACAATAAGGCAACATTCTAAATTTTATGGCCTCTTAAAAACATTCTAGTTTTTAAGCAGTGGACTGTATCTCAAGGGATTGGTAGGTTAATGATTCTGCAAAAAAAACAGCTTACCGTCTATATGCCAGACCACATCTTTTTTACCTGGACAGCTCTCCGTAGGTGGCTTCTCGTGCTGGAGATGGTGTTTGCCCAGTGGCTGCCAGTGGAATTGGCAGATACAACTCAGGGCTTAAGTGTTATCTTTATCTTTTATATCTGCCCCCACCACTCGCCGTAATGTGGGCTATTTGGGCGGGGGGCCGCAACCAACTGGGGAGATCCATTCGTTCCTCCCCAAATAGTTCCATTCTCAGCCTTGCAAATCTATCACATTTATACACAATATTACACACAATTTCATTCTGACAGAATCTGCAAAGCGGATTCGTCGTTACTCGGATATTGAACATATGGTAATTTAGCTTACAGTGACCTGTATAGATTGCTGTAAGCTTTTTAAGAGCTGATCTGCCCATACTCAGTAGCAGTTTGCTTCTTTTTTCACATAGACCTTTAAGGAACAGCTTCGAATGTCGCTTTTTTTTATCAAGAATAAAATATGATTTATGACCCTGCAATTCATGGTTTTCACTAAAGATTGACCAATACCGATATTAATATCGGTCGATATACCGATATATCGGTTTTTTTTTTCTGGTCAACTTTCAAATTTTCTGGTCATCTTCAGAAACCGTTACATCGGCCTCTTTCATATTGACTATTGTTTTTATTGCTACTAAATGTGTCAATCATTCGTCAAGGGATCAAAATAGACAAATTTTTTTTAACATTTTCCAAATTTTCTGGTCAACCCCATGAACCAATATATCGGCCTCTTTCACATTGTGTTACATTTTTATTGCTAATAAATGGGTCAATCATTCGTCAAGGGATCAACATAAACATAAATTTGAGCAAAGACCAAAATATTGGCCTTATGACCTTTTTTTATTGAGATTGGTAGAGTTTGACAAATTTGTATTTGATTTTTTTTCTGGTCCTTTCTTTATTCTGATTTTAGCAGATCCCCATATTCAAAAGATCGATATATCAGCCTCATGACCTCATTTTATCAATATAGGTTAGAGTTTGGCTATTTTTTTTTTTTTAATCATTTTTTTCTTATTTTTGAACATCTTCCAAATTTTCTGGTCATCTCCATGAATTTGATGTGTGTGTGATAAATGTGATTTATCAGCCTCTTTCACATTGATTATTATTTTTATTGCTACTAAATGTGTCAATCATTTGTCTATGGATCCACCTAAACATAAATTCGAGCGAAGACTGATTTATCCGCTCACAATCTTATTATGTCGAGATTCTAAAAATTTCACATTAACTATTATTTTTATTGCTAATAAATGTGCTGATCATTCATCAAGGGATCAATATAAACACAAATTTGAGCAAAGACCGAAATATTGGCCTTATGGCCTTATCTTTTTAAGATTGATAGAGTTTACAAAATTTGATTTAATTTTTTTTCTGTCCCTCCTCATTCCTTAATTTTGGCAAATACCAATATTCCAAAGACCAATATATTGGCCTTACCACCTTATTTTATCGAGATTCTAAGAATTTCACTTTGAATATTATTTTTATTGATAATAAATGCGTCAATGGATTTGCATAAACATAAATTTGAGCAGTGACTGATATATCGGCCTCTTTCACTTTTAATATTGTTTTTATTGCTAATAAATTTATCAATTATCCATCAAGGGTTTAGCATAAACATAAATTTGAGCAAAGACCAATGTATCGATCTTTACTCACATTTATGTTTATATCGATTTCATGGCGATTGAGCCCATTTATTAACTGTATAAATAATATTCTGAGTAAACTCTATGAATCATGATTAATTAAGGTCGAAAAGCCGATATATCGGTGTATGAGATAGACTGAAAAAAAAATTGAAGAAGACAAAATAAAAAATTGATCGAACTCTATCAATCTCGATAAAATTAAATCTCAAGTTCAATGTATCAATATATCTTTACTCACATTTATGTTTATTTCGATTCCAAAGCAATTTACTCTCTCATTTACTATCAGTATAAGTAATATTTCAAGTGAATAGAGTTTTACTTTGAATATTATTTATCATCAAATATTTTTTCTTAAACTCTACTTATCTCTATAAAATTAAATCATATGGCCGATATATATCGGTCTTTATTCACATTTATGTTATTATCGTCATGGTGATTGATTGGCCCATTTATTATCAAAATAAATAATATTCCAAGTGAAAACCTATAAATCATGACAAAGTAATGTTTTAAGGCCGATATATCAGTCCAATGGGGGGAGCAAAAAAATCTAGAAAAGGAGCGAAAAAAAAAAGTTTCAAAATCTACCTATCTTGATAAAATATGGTCGTGAGGCCGATATATCGTTCTTTACTCACATTTATGTTATTATCGATTTCATGGTGATTGATTGGCCTATTTATTATCAGTATAAATAATATTCCAAGTGAAACTTTATGAATCACGATAAAATAAGGTCAAAAGGCCGATATATCGGTCCAGAGGATGGACCAAAAAATATTTAGAAGTCAATAACAAATTAAAAAATAAACAAAATTATCAAACTACCAATCTCGATAAAATTTAATCTTAAGGCCGATATGTCGGTCTAATAATATATATATATATATATATATATATATATATATATATATATATATATATATATATATATATATATATAAAATGGTCAAATTCTATTAATCTCGATAAAATAAAATCATGAGGCCAATTTATCAGTCTTTGCTCAAATTTATGTTTATGTCAATTCTTTTGAGACTGATTGACACATTTATTAGGAATAAAAACTATATTTATTCCAAGTGAAACTCTATATGAATCATGATGGGAGAGTAGGACGGAAAGATTTTGGGGAATTTTCATGGAATAATTATATAGTTGAAGTAACAATACTATGTTTAAGAATTATTTTATAGATTACAAAAAAATATAATACTAAAACATACAGTATTAGCAGATTCTGCATTCAATTTATGGCAAAGTAATAAAGTTTTGGGGCTCTAGTTCAATAAATATTGGTTTTACACAGGAAAGACCATACAGGTACATGTTGGTTTCAAGCCCAAAATGTCCTCCCAACTTCAAAAAGTTTAAATATCCATAATTCTGAAACTACTTGGTAGAATTAGGAAAAACTTAGTATTTTTTCCTATTTTTGTATTTACTTAATATTTACAAATGTTCATTAAGATCTGAAAGGGTGGGTTTCAAGTTAAACTTTTTCTGAATTGTTTGGTATGATGGCCCTTTTTTATTTTAAGGTTTGGCAGTTGCTTGATGTTTTTTATTCCTTTCTTTGTATGAGTATACCAGATCTATTTATTTATATTTTAATTAAATAGGACTTGAGGAATATTGTGATATTTGCTGTGGAGTTTATAGTGGAGGAAATATGAGAAAACTTAGTACTGCACTAGCTTTTATTGGTAATCCTCCAATCATTCTTCTTGATGAACCTTCAAGTGGAGTTGATCCGATGATTCGTAGAAATTTATGGGATGTAATCAAGAGAAGTTCTAATAGAAAGCAAGCTATTATTATTTCATCTCACAGGTAAGTTTTTTAATTTTATTATATTAATTAAAATTTTAAAATATTTTAGTCCGTTTATTTTCACAAAAATAAATAAATAGTTCCCCATATCTATTAGACATTAACAGAAGGCTAGGGTTTGGATAAGCAACTGAGGCATGATCAGTACTGAAGGGTCTGAGGATGGAAGAGAAACTCTAAACACAACTGAATATAATAGAAATGCAGGACTGGGCTAGTTATTATGAAAGTCTTCTAAATGAAACTAGAAAGAAATCTACAGAGGAAAAAATAGAAATGTACATCGTTATTTATCACCCTAGAACAGGAGTCCCCAAACTACGGCCAGATCCGGTTGCAAGCACTTCAAATCCGTCTCGTGAAAGTTTCTTTAATAACATGATAAAATTTTATAAACTAGTAAAAAAATATGAAATTTAGCTAATTACTCACACAAGAGGTGACTACAATATTTATTGCATTTTTTTTTCCTCATGCTCATTTCACAACTGAAATGTCATTTATAGAACAAGATTTATTTTATTTCTTCACAAGCCATGGCCCGCAGGACTTTAATGGAAGTCTCAATGCGGACCGCGGGAATTAGTGAAAATCTCAATGTGGCCCGCAGACCAAAAAGTTTGGTGACCCTTGTCCTAGAGGAAGTTAATGAGTAGTTAAAACGGATGAGGAATGGGATAACCCTTAGGTGAGGAACTTTTTTAATATATATATATATATATATATATATATATATATATATATATATACATATGTGTATGTGTGTGTTTGAGGAGAAGTTGGTCAGGGGTCAATATACAATCAATATACAAGATGTCTCAGTTCGTAATGGCCAAAGGTGATTCTAGACCAAATTTACAAGTCCCAACGAAAAAGTTCATTTGATGCATGGCCTAATTCCGAACGGAAAAGGAGTTAAGATCAATTTTGTTTTTTCTTTAGGTAGTCACGTTTTTATTGAATAAGAAGAAATTGCTCAAAAACTATTGACATCTATATTTTAAAAAAGTGTAAAATTTATAGAGGCATCTGTGTGACAAGTCCATTTGTGAAACTGCTTGGAAGAATAATAAAAGATCAGAAAAGTCGTATCAGGCTCAGGAGCAAACAGAGGTCCAGTATCAATCATAGTTTTACCTTGAGACAAGTTTTAGAAAAACAAAGTAAAAAGGTCAGATATAATCTTAATAGACCTAGAATTAAAATGATAATGTACCACGAAAACTGTTACGAGTATCCTTGAGGAAAACTGGTATTTACAATAGAATTCTGAGCCTAATTAAAGAAATAAACAGTAATAACAGGTGCCAGGTAAAAATAGACCCATAATTATTGAAGATTTTACAAAACCGGAAGGAACTAATATAAGGATGCTGCATGTCCCCTATTTTGTTTAGTTAATTAATTATCTATAAAATCTTTGTTATTAACCTTTTAGCGGCTCCGGAAAGACCATGCCCCTTGTGCGCAGAGCCAATATATAGGCTTTAGCTTTTTATCGTTTAGTTGCGCAAAACCAATACTCGGCCTCATTACAGAGCTCTCTACTGGGTATCCCATGAGACTTAGGTTGTTGCTGAAAACACTAGATCGCCAGAGATGCATTATTTAGTCGCCGGGTATACTTGCTTCCATCCCTATGTCACCTTTTTCTAGTCTTTTTAACTCTGTTTAGCTCTAAGACTAACAGCAGTTGTAGTGTTTTAAAGTGCAAAAGTTGAAAATGAGTTTTAAACTTTAAAAAAATAAATTTTTTTTCTAATGTATAAATTTTTTTTTAATTGAAGTATATGTAACAAAAGTTATCATACAATGAAACGTTATCAGAAATTGGTTAATAATAAAAAAAGGTCAATTAGAAAAATTAAAATGAAGAATTAAAAAATAATGACACTATATGTACCAAAATAAAATATTAGAGAGAGAGAAACACTTTATTTTCATAAAATATAAAATATAAATATAAAATATTACATTAAAAAAAATAATGTAAATGTTACAGTATAACGTAAAAGTAATGTAAGACAATTAATAGTAAAATAATAATAATAATAAGAGGCTTAGCAGACCAAGAGGTTCGATGCCGACACTCCCAATCGCTTATTACACACCTTCCTCCACCGTTCGCCGTCCAAACCCAGTCCCTTCAGATCGGCTTTAACACAATCTTCCCACTTTCACTTCGGTCTACCCCTCGGACGTTTACCATTCGTTACAGCAAATATCAACCTTTTAGGTATTCTTTCGTTACTAATCCCAATTGGAATTATTGTGGATATTGTGTATGGAATTATTAGCCCATTTGATTCTCCGCGATGTAATCACCTCAATTATATTAACTGGATACAGTTCACGCAACTTGGCATTGTGCAATCTGCTGAACTCTCCGGTTAACTCATGTTTCTTGGTCCGAATATTCTACGCAATACTTTATTTTCAAACACCTCAAGACGTTGCTCATCTCTTAATGTAAACGGCCAAGTTTCGCATCCATAAAGAACTGTAGGTAGGATAATGGTTTTATTGATTCTAGTCATTAATTCCGGGACAAGATGCGTGAGCTAAGTAGTTTTATCACAGAAAAATAACAAGCATTTCCCGTCTTCAGCCTAACCTTACTCGCCTCTTCAATTTCGTTTTTTCTAGTTATCGTAGAACCTAGATACCTAAACTTATCTGCCTGTTCAAACATATTACCATCTATATCGATATCACCAGTAGTATCGCCATTTTTGCAGCTAACTATATATTTTGTTTTATCCACGTTTATTTCGAGTCCTAGTTCTTTACCGGCTTTTATTAACATTGTCTTATTTAGTTTTATAGTTTCCGTGTCTTCGCTTAACAGGACCAGATCTTATTTGTAAGTTAGCTTTTATTTAAATTTTTTCTTTAATTTAAAATCCAGAAAGTATTGTTTCGTAATGATTATCTTTTTTTACCATCATGTTTATTCATATAGTTTTTATCACTATAGTAAAAAACTGCTATTTTCTGTTTTTATTTTTGTAGTATGGATGAATGTGAAGAGGTTTGTAATAGGCTTACTATTATGGCTAAAGGAAGAATGCAGTGTATTGGTAATGTTCAGCACTTGAAATCTTTGTATGGACAAGGTTATATAATTATGATTAAATTGAAAAATCATTCTGAAGAGCAGCGTGATGCTTTAAAAATGGAAATGAAACATATTTTCCTGTCAAAATGTATTCTCAAAGATGAGCACCAGGTTGGTAACGAAAAAAAAACTTATTGATATGAATAATTAACATTTACTTTGAATATATGTTTTCAATTATATTTTGAACTACATATTTTCAATTTTTTAAATTTAATATCTTTCTTTCTTTTTTTTAGGTTCTTCTTCATTATCACGTGGACACAAATGTTTTCAAGGTCTCTGAATTATTTAGTTCAATGGAAAGCTTAAAGAAAAGATTTATTATAATTGATGATTACATCATCACTGATTCGAGTTTGGAACAGGTGTTTCTTTCCTTTGCGAAAAAACAAAGCTTTTAATATATTCTTGTAAAATGATCATTTATTTTTAATATATTTATAACCTATATAAAAATTATTCCACAAACTTCTTTTGTTATTGACTTAAAGGTTATTTACCATTTATATTAATCTGCTGGCTCTCGACTTAAAAAATATATACCAAAAAATATTTAGGGCTGTTGATTGAAAAGCTTTAAGATTAATTAAGAGAGTTATGTACTAATTTTATGTGTATAGAAGAGTTTAGATTTAACAATTATTTGCTGTAACAATTTTTCAAAATCTGTTAAATTGAATTTCATTATTTGTACTATTTAACTGATAAAATTGTTGAAAATATTTCATTATTTTCATTGTGATTGTCATAAAGTTTCTGTCTTATTTTCTACTTAATTATATAAGTTATGTTTTGTTTAGTTACTATTTTTTTTTTGTAGCTCACAACTTTTACTATGATCTATACATATTTTTCATTACTATTAATAAATAAAGTGAGTTAATATTTATTTTTATTGTCATTATAGGTACTTATTAATTTTTGTTATTTAATTTAAGTATTATCTAATGATTATATAAGTGTTTAATTTATTTAAATTTTGAATTATAATTTTTTAATTGTATGTTTCTAAGCTTATGTCCAAATAAAGAATTATTTTATGATATTTACCTTGCTTATATGTTATTTGTGTGTGCATGTATGTGTTTAATTGGATAATATATACTTTTTCATTCATGAAATATTATTTACAGGATGTATAATGATGCTCTCTTACAGAGTACGTTAGCTCGGTTTAGTCTGTGGTACAGACCACTTTTTATCAAATTGTTAAAACTCGTCTAAAACTTCTTGTCTGACTTCATTCCATTGTAATGTATACTTACAAGGTATAGATAGGACCATAGGTTGGCTCGGTATAGTCTGTGGTACAGATCACTTTTTATCAAATTGTTAAAACTTGTCTAAAACTTCTTATATGACTTCATTTCATTGTTATCTACAACATTTTCATTTATGAAAATTCTAGGACATAGGGCGTTTTCAATCGGAGGGTCGGTAAACGTAGTCAATTTAATAATGTGATACTAACTAAAAAGTCATGAATACCCAATTGCTTTCCATTTGAATTGTTAAGATGATTTGATCTCAAAATCAAGAAAAATGTGGCCTACAACAATATTGGGCTGTTTCGTCTATATAACTCATTATTTTGACAAGTTGGTGGTGGAAGGTTACAATAAAAATAAGCCCTTCACGAAGTTTTAGAGGAATGTTAGTAATTTGATAAAAAGGGGTCTGTACCACAGACTGACTATCTTGTAAGGCACTCCTATTGATCATATCCGAGTTTGAGTCTGGCTGTGGTAGATTATTATTTATTTTATAACTTCACCTGTGGATTGACTTTGGAGTTGGGATATCGTCCTGGGAAATAGCCAGACTCTATTTAGTGGCTACTCTTAATTAATTTAGGAGGAAAACATGGCATTTGAGTGGGATCTCATTCAAATCACCTCCACTGGCACAACCGTTGTCCAAGAAACAATACTTCTTTACAAAGAACTGAACCCTAGACCCTTCATGTTACTGATGGTGACAGATAAGTAAGTGGAGGGCCGAGACCGGGTGCTAAACTTGATCCTTGCCTTGGAGATAACGACCAGTGCGACGTATACAAAATAAATCTATATGTGTATATATATAAAATTAAATAATTAGAATGTAAATCCGACTGTATGATTTATTCTTTTGGCAGCTAATATTCTATTAATCTCTACAAAATAGGCTGAATAAAGTTGATCATTGTCTGGGTTCTGTTGGAGGACACAAAAGAGATTCATGTATTAAGAAGTACAATTTTTTTTTTTATTATTTATTTATTGATAAATATTACAATCTGTCTCAATAAAGGACATTTATAATAGAGTTCTGAGAGCACATTCACACCATATTTACAAATAATAAAAAAAATAAGCTAATTTCAAATAATATAAAGCTATAAAAGAACAAAATAAAATATCATAGTGAAGGAAGAAAATATAAATAATAGTAATAATAGAATGAAAATAAATGAATAAAATTAAATTAAAATTATCTTTAAAAAAAAAAGTAATGAAAATAAACATCTTAGATGCAGGCATACCTATTTACACTAGGCGCCATGGGAACTCCGTACCATACTTATCCCCCCACATGTGGAGGGAAAGCAAGGCTTCAGGAGATCCCTGCGCTTCTTCCTCAACCATTTCATTGGTATTAAAAGCCAGGTCACGGGGCCACTGCCGTTTTAGCCTGCGAGGAGGATTGTAGGGATGAGTGGTGCTAGATAGGGATTGTGTTACGGGATTAGGGTGATGGGTAAGGTTCTGATGAAATTTGGAGTATTTGTCTGGGATAAGATCAAGAATAAATGGAATATTAAGGTCATTATGCAGGGTTTTATTGGTGACATAGAAGGGAGCATCGACTATTGTACGGAGGACTTTGAACTGGAAGTCAGCGCGGCATGTGGTTGCAATATGACTTAGTGTGGCCGTATGCCTGACAATTGTGGCACTGGACGATTTATTTTTTCGGATATAGTTTTTCAACCTTTACAATGGTATAGTATAATCGATGTATGTCGTATATTTTTTCCACCCCTGGTGTTGGCTCCAAATCCACAAAAAATAAGAGCAGTGGAATTTTAGTTTTTACTCCTGGCTGGTCTCTATTTTCTTTCAGAACGTTTGTTATTTGGCGAACATTGAACCCTAACGCCGTTAGCTCATCCTTGATAACCTCAGTTGGGGTTGAAGAGTGTAAGTTTCTTATCACTACTCTTAATGATCTATCCTCCCTCACCTGGTATGTGTGAAAATCCGCACCTGTTTCGGTCAAATACTTGATTATTTTTCGATAGGCTTCAGGTGTGGCCGGTGTTATTTTTGTGTCACTAGTCCTGTTAAGGCATGAAAAGCTATCAGGACAGATGTTATTTAATTGGGTACATAACAATTGAAAATTTCTAATATTTTGATAAAGATCGGAGGAGGCCGTGGTTCTCTAGGTATCGGTGCAGAATCCATCTCCTCTCTGTCATTTTGAATTTTACATTAAAATAATAGGAAATAAAAATACAAGTTATTGGTAGAGTAGTACGAGCTGGATTATTGAAAATCCGCAAAAAAAAAATTATGAGAATTCTATTGAAGTTTTTGTGGTGAATATAGGCGCATTTTTTACTTTTTTCTTGCCTGTTGATACAACTACTGGGCAAAGACTCGGGGAACTGTTTGGAGCCGGAGTTGTCGGGTTTTTGTCGGGTATGCAACTACAACTGTACTACTCGGTAAAAATGCTACATTTTGAGTCACCAGGCTTGGCAGGTGGATTGATTGGAGATAATGTTGAAAACCATATCGTAAAAAATCAGAATAATGAGCAGAAAAATTCAAGGTAATCAATATACGATGTTATGCCTGGAAACCAGCCAATAAATAGACCTGAGTACGCCATAGTATTACCTACAATAAGAGGACTTAAGTAAAGAAAATACATTGAAGGTTTATAAGTGGTAAACCCAGCTAAAGACATTATTATATAGAATGCTTGCCCTAGTATACCACACGTGGTTATAGAAAATGAACTTAACAAACTAGGCATTAAATTATTATCTCCTATCACATCTCTAAAAGGGAGCTATATTTGACCTAAAACTAGCTATATTTTAAGTTTTCGAAGACAAGTATTTACTGTCCGAGAGGATTTTAAAAATACCGAAATCAATAGAAGTATCCAATCAAGATACAATCTTCTGCATCTATCTCTCCGATGATGTTGTAATCAGCTATTTGTGCAATGTTATTGTAGTGTTAATAATAAATGTTCTTTTTTGGTAGAAAATGTTTTTCAAATCTATCAAGAAGAATTTTTAAGTTTTCATAATTTGAAATCTTATCAAACGTGTTATAAATTCTTAAACCTTCGTCCTCGATCAAATACATAAGCTTAGCAAATTGTGTTTTTCCAATTTTTTGTCCAACTCGGTTGCTATAATATAATTTTCAAATTTCTGTCGCCAAAATTTCCAATTAGCCGCTAGGTTTCTAGACATATTAAGATTTTTAATTCCTTTTTCCACCATACTTTCAATTATTTTCACCTTCAATATTTCAATAATTAAAAATAATGCTTTCATTTAGCTATAATTAATCGAACAATTTCTAAAATTTACCGATTGCGCCATATAACATATTCTAGTTAAAATAAAAACAATATTGTAGCATCAAGACATACTCTTTATTCAATAATGATCTTTGATCTATATTCCTATTTTTGTTAACAAAATTTGTTATCAACACTACAATAATATTACAATTTGTGCCGAAAACCGAGATATTTCTCTGCAGATTGCCTAGAATCTGATGCTTCTAAAGTAAAATTCGGTTTACCGATCGGTACTGTCAGTTCCGCGAGCCAGTAGTAATCCATCGCTTCTTGGATACCCCTTTGTTAGGCAAAACCAAAGCTGAGACGATTACGAAGAAAATGAAAAAACAAAAATCAGAAAACGAATAATAACGAAAACTAATTTGCAAATGGAGGCCAAATAATAAAAAAAATGCCAACTCACTCCACCAATCTGAAGAAAAGTCTTCGCACGGAATCAGATTCTGCAGAAAATGTGAGGGGGAGGGAGGGACTAAATATAAGATTGATCAACTTATTACATTCACCAATGAGCATACGACCAGAATTCCCAGTCGAAAAAAAAAAAATGCTTCTAAGGTAAGCACAACCGCTGAATAGCAAAATACTGAACTGAAAAAGACAATTAGCAACGGTAAATCAGTACTTACCCTGAGCGTATTTATTGATAAAAGAGATACCCCAAACATTGGCAGAAAATATAAAGATATCGCACCTCTCAGAGCGTCGTAGAGAAAAAACATGAACACAAATGGAAACACTTAGACAACGTTACAAAAAACTCAGACCCTTAAAACCGTTTAAAAAACAAAACAATTCAGGAACAGATTTCAGAGAAATCGAATCAAAGAAGGAATTTTTGGAACATATACGCCATTTAATAACTAATGACTACCCATTAACATTTGATAGACTTTCCCTATTGATTGATATGGTCCAGCGTGAAAATAGCTCAACTGTTAAGAAAGTTTACTAACGACATTACATGCTTAGAAAGAATGGTTAAAGAACTTAGAAGTAAAATTACACACAGAGGCATGAAAATCAGATTTTCGAATATTACTGAAGTCCATCCTATTTTTTCTGATTTAGCTGAGACTGGAGTACCTTGTACCTGATACTGATGTACCATCCTTTCTCGCTAATAATGCTAGTAGTATTATACTACTATTATAGTATTTACAGAAAATGGATGCAATAAGTTGAATTGTAACGGATTTTTCCGTCAAGTAAAATACCTTCAGAAACTCATTATTGAAGAAAATCTACTGTGTAGCTGACTTGAAGAAACTCGCCTGAATAACAAGAATAGAATGAATATAAAAGGATTTCGAACCTACAGGAAGGACAGAGCAAGCACCGACAGTCTCAACATCAATAAGGGAAAATATTTTCTCTGAAGTGCTAACATTGAGAACACCGTATGAAGCCATCGTAATAAGACTACATTTGAGACAGCTACTAACAATTTGTAATG